TGTTTCTTGATGAAGGTCTTCGGGCTGACCTTTCAAGTGTTCTTCGACACAATGATACGTCGAACAATGACAAAAAGTCATTTTCGTGTTTGACATAGATTAGCATACAAGAAACACGTCAGTCCGTTTTCATCCACTCAAATCTAACACTCAATAACATTTCGACACCAACCAATCATGTGGGATTGCTTTCCAATATTCAGCTGCTTTCCTGAAACGCACGAGCCCTGTTTTTCTCCGGTTCTTAATCAGCAACTTATTCTTTCAATTTCTTAATTCAATCTGAAAGGGCGTGATTTTTCTCTTAACATTGTTCTTATCTGTGCAACTGATGAATGCTCATTTAATATCTCTTTCGGGTGGGGTTTCTCCTCCGAAATCCTCACCACTAGAGGAAGTAAGTCTGGAATCTTTGGATCTTTACAATATGTAGAAGGGAATTTCCAGATCGATGCAGAGATTCCACCGGAGGATAAGAATGCGGTTTACTATTTGATCATTTTATTATTTGTAACATCTACAGTAATATCAACACTTCTCACCGGATCATTTTTAGTTGCTTCCATATTTTTATGGCGTCGGTTCAAACATGTGAGAATGATGTTTTTAGTATTGATCGGCAAAGAATCCAAAAACTTTGGCAGTTTCATGGAGCAAATTATATAAAAAGAGGAAAATTACTCATTCGTTTGCGAAGACGCTGAAATAAAATAATATTGGTCAACTGAAACTGCTGATGTTTTTGAATTGTCAATTGATTTATGTTAAAATATCTAAATACTTATTTTTCCCGTTTAAAATTCAAATTCAGATGAAATTCTTCTGGTTCCTGTCATTGCTTACTCTTTCTATTTTTGTACTGTCTATTCTAAATCTAGTGGTAAATGTTCCAGCAACCCTTTTTTCTCTTCTCACGAAAGACTTTGTAAAATCAGGTATCATTAAAACAAAGTCTCTTCGCAATTTTTCTTTTTTTTTCCAGACGTTTTTCTTCTTATGTCTTATATCATCGACGTTTGCCATTACACTATTCTCTTCTCCAATTTAGTGATCGCAGTTCAACGTTTCTTTGTTTTCTTTTTTCGGAACCTAGCCGACAGTGTCTTCGAAACGTAATTTCAAAGAGAAAGGGGTCATCGGAATCTGTTGAGAATTTTCAGACCGTTTATTTATATATGGATGGCATCGATATTGTTATTCTCTTTACTGGTCGTTTATGCGATGATGTATAATAATTGTAGATATAAATACACAACAGCTGATGAGCATTATGTACTCAATTGTCAGACGGCTTCAGGAATCAATATACCATCTCCGAAAGGAATACAAACTGTAAACTGAAATTATTTTACAAAATTTCAAAGTTCTATATTTTCAGATGGAAGTAGCTATTCAATTTGTACTCCCGTGTTTAATAGTTGGTATTTATATTGCATTAACTGCAAAGATCACATTTATGAAAAACTCATCGATACAGAAGAGTGAAATCACAATTCTGAAGCAAGCATTTTTTGTCTTCTTCGTTTTTCAAGTAATCAAGTTCTTGATAACTTTCTCTCTAATCGGTTTTTCAATTTCCTAGATATCTTCTCTCGTTTTTCTTTTCTGCCAAACAGTTAAATTCGGCATCGTCACCGCATTTCTTATCAAACGAGTTATCAATACGGTATGGAATTCAGTAGGAAGGAAAATTTTGGTTTGAACAAATGATTTCAGATGGAAATATTTGCCGGTGCAGCAACGCCTTGTTTCTTCTTTTTCACATCAAAGGAAATTAGGAAAATCGTATCAACGAAAAATTCTATATTTAATTCACAAGTGAATTCTAATAGTAGAGTTCCTAACAGACAACAGAGTATTTCTAATCTTGGATCTGTTGCATAACTAGACATTTTAAATCTTTCAATAAAGCTTATTATTAATTAAAGTCTTTTTGATCGAATTCAAAATGATGAAATCGCAAATTACACACAGTAAACACTCTAACAGAAGGGCCCGAACTTTTTTCTTTGAGCCAACATTTCTTGGTTTCTGCCGAAGATACAAAAAATTTGTCAACTGCCAAATTGTTTATCATAATATCAGAAGTGTTTTGTCAATTGACACACCCCCTTCCCATATCTTGGTAATTGAACTGCTGGTTCAGTTTATTTTCAATTGTTATGGTGATATGTTCCTGATTGAAACAACGTGCAAAAAATATGTTTCCATGGTGAAATTCGTGTTCAAATCCTTCCAGAGAATGACGTAAATAAGGGTTTCAGCTGCTGATTCGGTAAATCTCTGTGACTATTAATGAAGATAATGCATTATGAAAATAACCCAGTGTGTAGATTTCCATGAACTGCTGGATACTCTTCTGATCTTATAAAGACTTTTACGTTTTAATAAGCGTAGTTTTCGGTAGTAAGGTCACTAGCAAGCACAATTATTCATCAGCCTATTCTAATTATTTTTCCTGGGTTTTGATCCAGCTGCTTTCCGAGATTAACCTTACAAATAGAAGCAAGCTTATTCGCTCATATTAAAATATGCCTTCAATTTATTTCCTATTGTTTCTCGTTGGCTTTGTAATAGGACAGAGCCCTCCGTGTGTAAACTTCACTGATACAAATGGAATAACTCATTGTATCAAATCAAATACTGGTCCGGTAGACGGTAAAGACACTCCATTAGTAGAAGTAAGATCGTTTGGACCAGGCAGATTCACCAATTACGTTTTTCAGATTTCCGCAGTCATTCCTCCAGAAAATAAAAATGGTTTATACTATCTTGTTATCACCCTGTTTGTACTGTCAACCTTTGCTTCGACTATATTGTCTGGAATTTTTCTTGCCTTGGGATTTGTTTTTTGGAGTCATTTCAAACAAGTAAGCTACAAATTCTCTGAATAACTAGGAAGCTATTTTTTCTCAGATGACATTCTTCTGGTTTCTCATCCATTTAACCTTATTTGTATTCGTTATGTCATCCTTAAACTTTTTGATAAATGTACCTGCAACATTGTTCTCTCTAATCACAGCAGAGTTCGTTAAATCAGGTGATTTCTATAATTGAAGCACAATGCGTGTACCATAAGTTTTCAGATGCCTTTTTCATCATGTCTAATATAATTGATTTCTGTCATAATGCTGTTCTTTTTTCTAATTTAATTATTGCAATTCATCGATTCTCAGTGTTCTTTTTGGGAAGTTCAACAGAAAAGGTTTTTGGGAAATCTTGTATTTTTCTGTGGCTCAGTTTTGTCTGGGTAATATCTGCTTTTGTGGTAACCTCGATGATGTCAAACAGCTGCAGCTATGAATATGATACGCAATATAAGAAGCATTATATTTTGATATGCTCATCGGACGGCAGAACCGTCACAGAACCTCCTAGAGTGGTTCAAGCGGTAAATTAGAAAATGTGTTTTAGTGGTGATGCAACAAATGAATTTCAGGTGGAAATCTTGATGCAAATAGCGGTACCAATACTTATATTCATAATTTATATTGCGCTAGTTATCAAGATAGGTATAATGAAAAAGTCAGATCAAAAAAGCTATGAAATGACGATTCTCAAGCAAGCTATTTTCATTTTCGTTCTCTTTCAGGCAAGTTAGATATGTATAATGTGAAACCTGTAATAGAACGTCGACTTGAATGCGCGTTGCGGTCAAAAATCACACGGTGAGCGAAGCTTAGGTCCGGTAGCGAAATCCTTAAAGACACATTAAAAAAAACATGTATTTTCAAATTTTGTTTCTAGCCTGTTCTTCTCCATTTTCCCATGAATTTCATCGACTTTTCAATAATTTTCAATGATTTTATGTAGTTTTTTCTTGCGATTTTCCGAATTTTTGTTCAAAAAAAGTTCAAACGATCAAATTTATCAAAAATCAAAAAGTTAGGCCAGAAAGTAACTATTCAAATACTTCTTCCTTTAAATGCGCCTTGAATGTCGCTACAGAACTTAAGCCCCGCTCACCGTTAGAGTTTCAGCCGCAACGCGCGTTGATACTAGACCCGAGTAATATGTCTGCATTTGCGTTAATGTAAGAGTGTTTTTATAAACATATATGTTTACGATTAAAGTTGTCGGTAATTTTATGTGTAAAAGTTTCAGATATCATCGATTGTTTTTCTTCTCTGTCAAACTGTTCAATTCGAAATTACAACTGCCTTTCTTATCAAACGAGTCATCAACACAGTAATACCATTTTACTATAAATATTTAAATTCTTTTCGAATTCAGGCCGAAATATTTGCTGGGGCAGCGACACCATGTTTCTTCTTTTTTACTTCCAAAGATATTCGAAAGCTGATTACTGTAAAAGTATCAGCCACCAGTTCACTGGTCAACTCAAACAGTCAACAAAGAAGACAAACTCTGAGATCCACATAGAAAGATGAATTTAATTTTCGTACTTGCAATAACTCGTGATTTTTTATGAACTCCGTGATTTCAGCTATCTCTATTTTCAGACCTGTCGGTCTTTACCCTTACAGGTGATTTTGTCTCGTTTAACCCGGAATATATTGCCTTTTATCGGCCGTATTTGAGTTAGAAATTTTTAATCAAATCACGAAAATTGCAGTTTACACCACATAAAATATCTAGATTATCTGAGTAATAATATCCTTTGAACTGACTATCGACTAATACTCTTTCCAAATTTCGTATGTTTCTGGTTCTTTGTCTTTTCCTTACTTGGATGAAACCAAATTACGTTGCTAGTGATAATTCGCCTATTTTTGAGGTATAAAGTTCTTTGAGAGGTTAGAATAAACTGAACAATTTTTCAGCTAGACTCGGAAGTTCCACCAGAAGAAAAAGATGCACTTTACTACATTATAATTTCAGCATTTGTTATTTTCACTGTTTTATCAACTTTGCTAGCTGGCACCTTTCTGGTTTGCTCTATAATTTTTTGGGGAAATTTTCGAACGGTATGTTGTCATCTACCGTAAATGCTGTAAGACGAGCTGCACTCTGAGCTCAATTATCTCGGTTTCTTCAAAAGATATTTAAAAAATGTCAACTGATGAAATGTTGCTGATGTTATGAAAACCCCTTAGCAGTTGACAGACTATGATATTTTTGAAGGAAAAGAGAAATTTAGCTCAAAGTGAACGAATAGTTTGGAGCTTTTTTGAGCGTTCACAGTACTCGAGTTCCATATAATCCTTGAGTTTCTCTAAACTTCAACAATATGAACATCAATTTCAGATGAGATTCTTCTGGTTTTTAACACAACTAACATTTTCTGTGTTCATTTTATCTTCCTTAAATTTGGTCGTCAATGTTCCAACTACACTATTCTCTTTATTGACGAAAGAGTTTACACAGACAGGTAATTGCCGAGTGATCATTCCTAATTTAATCTCATTTTCAGTTCTCTACTTTGTAATGTCTTACATCATCGACTTTTGCCACTACACAATTCTAATATCCAATCTCGTGATTGCAATCCAACGGTTCTTTGTATTCTTCTTTCGTCACCTTACATACAAAGTATTTGATTCGTCAGTTATATTTATCAATTATGTATTCAATCACAATTGAACTTTAGGCTTGTAATCTTTGCGTGGCTGTTATCAGTATGGCTGGTATCGGGAGCTATTACAGTTATAATGGCAGCTAACAACTGTAGATATAACTATAAGAAAACAGATGAACATTATGTCTTAAACTGTCAACCTATAAAGAGTCCCGTAGACATTCCACCGCCAAAGTGGATCCGAATGGTAGGTCTGTTTTTTCTGAATAAAGTAAAAAAATCTTTTTATCAGCTGGAATTAATTCTCCAATTTGGATTGCCCTGTTTTATCCTTGTCATGTACATTTCTGTAGTTATAAAAATATCTGTAATGAAAAAGTCTTCACTAAACAAAAATGAAATACGGGTTGTGATTCAAGCCATTATTATTTTCATTTTATTCCAGGTATTTTCTGTGATGGTAAAAAACAATAACAAAATTCATCTTTCAGACATCATCCACTGTTTTCCTATTTTGTCAAACTCTTACTTTTAACATATCAACAGCATTTCTCATAAAACGAGTCATTAATACAGTGAGTTTATTTTTGAATTGAAGTTTTAATAAACTTATTTTCAGATAGAGATATTTGCTGGGACAGCAACTCCATGCTTCTTTTTCTTCACTTCCAAAGAAATTCGAAAATTACTTTCTACAAAAATATCGGCTGTCAGTTCACAAGGGAATTCGAATGATGTTGTCAAAAAGCCTACAATAATTGAAATTAATAATTGATTTCTTTTTCAATTTTTTTTTATTTTTTGAATAAACGATTCTCAAAATTTTTAATTCAAATGATTTTCGTTTCAGACCTAATTCTAGACTTCAGAAACCCTGGAACTCAGATATTTGGAAATTCAGGAATTAAGAAATTTTGGATCGAAAATCCTGAAATGTTCGAAAATTTCAAAATTTCAGAAATTCGGAAAAACCTGAATTTTCAGAGATTGGAAATACAGAAATTCGTAAACATGGGAAATCGAAAAAATCCAGAAATTAGGAAATGTTCCGGATTTTTTCAGAAGGTTTGGGAAACTCGGGAAATGTGGAATTTCGAAAATCCTGAAGTTTAGAAAAAAAAGTTTGTTAATTCAGGCATCATGTTATTCAGAAAGTCCGAGATTAATTTTAGAAATTCGGAACTGTAGAAATTCGGGAATTCAAACACTCCGGATTTCAGAATTTCAAAAAATCAGTAATTAAGAATGTAAAAATTTTGGTAATTAAAAAAATTCGGAAATTCGAATATTCAGAAGTTAAGAAATTTTAGAATAAGAACTGTAATAATTTTCATATTTTGAGAATTTAGAAATTCGGAAATTTAGAAATTCGGGAATTCAAACACTCCGGATTTCAGAATTTTATAAAAGCAGTAATCCAAAATTTAAATTTTCTGGTAAATTCAAAACTAGGAATTCTGATATTTAGAAATTCTGGAGACTCGGAAACTCGGAAACTATGAAATTGAAAATTCAAGTACTAGATACAGTAAGCAAAAGGCAAGAGGTTGAGCCCCCGGTATGGAGTGTTTCAAGTGAATTAGAGCTCAGTCTTTTTTCAAATAAAATGCTATAACAAGAATGTTTTCTAAATGAACCTAAAAGTTTCTGGTTCTTGATTTTCAGATAAACCATTTCTTCAATCTATAAATATCCAGTAAAAAGTAATTAGTCTTTTAATACAAGTACTCATATTCAGACGCAATGCTGGGTGCCAATTCCAATCACATGAATGTTTGATTTTCTTCTTGTTTTCATATAAAGCAGTCTGTGAGTGAGTTAGTCCCACACTTTTACTTTATCCCGATGAAAGATAAGCTTTCGAGGTTACTCATAGTTTTCCCCCTCCTACTTGTTTCAAATTCTGCTTTTTGTGATGATCGGTATTTAACTGTAAGTTTTAATAAAAACCGTAAACACTCAAAGAGCAGGCCACTCGGTTCTCGCACTTTGAGCTCAATTATCTCAATTTCTATAAGAGATATCAATTTTTGTCAACCGATAAAATGTAGGTATTATTATGACAAACATTTTATCAGTTGAGAGATTTTCGTTATCTTTTACAGAAGTTGAGATAATTGAGCTCAAAATTCAAGTATAGGTTGACCTTCAATTTCGACCACCCGTTTCAAAATGTGACATTTACAGATTGAAGCCGAAGTTCCTCCACAACAAAAAACATCCCTCTACTATCTTGTGATCACCTTGTTCGTCATTTCTGTGATCGCATGTACTCTCTTAACTGGAGCCTTTTTGGTACTTTTGATATTGTTGTGGGGACAGTTCAAATCAGTACGTTTGGGAAAATAAGAATTTTACAACCTGTTTGAAACAAATTTCAGATAAAATATTACTGGTTTCTGTCGCAATTAACTGTTTCTGTGTTTTTTCTTTCTTCTCTCAACTTAGTCATCAATGTTCCAGCTACTTTATTCTCTCTTCTTACACCGGATTTCGTGACTTCTGGTACTGTAAAAACCCTAATATCTATACTTGCACGTTGAGCTCTTTGTATATCTCGGTTACTGTAACAGATATCAAAATGTGGTCAACTGAAAAAAATGCTTACTATAATATCAAAAACGTTTTGTCAGTTGAACCCTTTTTGATATCTGTAACAGGCAATGAGATAAATTGTCTCAAAGGTATTTACCGTATCTATATTTCTTCATGGTTTTTTTTCCAGATATCTACATAATTCTCTCCTATACAGCAGACTATATGCATTATTCAATTTTAATATCAAATCTTGTCATTGCTATTCAACGGTTTTCTGTGTTCCTCTTCCGGAATTATTCGTCTACATTATTCGATTCGTAAGTTTTCCGGTATCTTCTGATTACCAATTCCTGTACTTCAAGACACTTCGTCTATATTTGGTTAGTCATAGTATGGCTGGCTCCTGGTGCAATTATATTTTTTATGGCCTACAACAACTGTAGATACGTATTTTTAAAAGCGAAAAAGGACAACTTTGTTCTGAAATGTGAGACGGCTGGAAGTGTTGTTGATCTCCCTCAACCCGAATGGATTCGATTTGTGGGTTACTTTAACATCCCAAAAATCACAAATTTTATGATTTTCAGATGGAACTAGCGCTTCAATTCGGTATTCCTGTGCTCATTTTCTGTATGTATGTTGCTGTGGTTTTCAAAATATGTTCAATGAAAAAGTCCGCATTGAATAAACAAGAAACAAGGGTTCTAGTTCAAGCTATCATCATTTTTCTCCTTTTTCAGGTATTTTTGTGTTCTGATTTTTCTCGAATTGAAACCTTGTATTTTCAGGCATCTTCTACCGTATTCCTATTCTGTCAGACACTATCCTTCAATGCCGCAACTGCTTTTATTATCAAAAAGTCCATTAATACGGTCAGTAATATAATTCTGGTAGAAAAAATCGGAGCTGTGAAGGTGAAAAATTTGAGGGAGTGGATCCCCGTAACAAAAACCACAGTAAACTAACATTTTCGGAAAACCTCTAAACAAGTCGGGAAGCATAATTTTTAATTAAAAATTGCCGGAAAACGGACGAAAGTCGAAAAAAAAGGAAGGTTGCTGACTACGGTAGTTTGGCCGTGGCCGCGGCCACCAGATTTTCTCTTCCACAGCTCGATTTTTTATACCAAATAATAGGGTCTCATTTCATTTATTTCTTTCAGTTAGAAATATTCGCTGGAGCAGCTACGCCATGCTTCTCATTTTTTGCTTCTGAAAAAATACGGAAAATGCTTTCGTCGAAAGTACCAGCTATCAGTTCACAAGGGAGTACGAACTCGGCGGCTCGAAAACCGACACTAGTGGAAGTCGAAAATTGAAACCCTCTTCTTTAAAATTTTTTGAACCCGAATAAAAATTCCGAAATTTGTTTTTGCAAAATGAGATCTTCACCAACTAGGTGATAGAAGAGTTTATTAACGAGAAAGAGCTCACATATGAGAGATGCAAAATGTCGTTTAGAAACACAAAAAGGAAAAAGATGAAAAAGAATTGACGAACCGTACTGTCAGATTCAATAAATAGGATGGCCTTTAAGAGAATGAAAAAGAAAATATTGGAAATTGATGGGGGTGGAGGCGAGAAAATTAAGATCAAGTTGGAAGCATCGGATTCATCGTTGTCTTAGTTGGCGGTGACCAGAGTGTAGATCATACTGAAATAAGCAAATATTTCCTTCTCTTTTGGGCAATTTGAACTTACGCGTAGAGATAATAGAAGAATGAGATTAGGTAGAAAGCCAATTTGATCCACGAGATGCGGAGAGTGGAGGAGAGAGTAGAACGGTTGAGAATAGTGGTTGGGTCATAGATTCCTGGTCCCGACATCACTGGACGATTGATGTATGTGTAGATGTGGTAGAATGCAAGTGGAAGATTGGCGAGAATGGAGATGAGTTGCCAACTGAGAATGAAGAGGAAAGTGAACGTTCCATGAATGATGTACTCTGGGAGGATGAGCTGGTTCAGATTCCTGCATTGCTCGATTGGATTCTTGTAGTCGGTGCGCAGCTCGTCGACGCAAATTACCTGCAATAATTTAATCTTCTAATTTTATCATCTGAAATAAAAAATAATAACATTAAACCTTTGAATGTTTAAAAAAAGTAAAGATTCAAAATCAATTGAAAAAGGACTCACTGTGTAGATTGCAAAGAAAATGCAGAATCCAACGGCGATGAGCGCGAGAAGGTAGCAAAGAGCGGCAAATGTGAATGCCATCTGCAAAACCTATTTATATGGATTACATGAAGCAACGAAAACGCAAAACTTGAGAAGAACAACTGGCGGAAGGTGGTACAAGCCGCTTATCATATGCAAAACAGAGAACATTGGAAAGTACGGAAACAACGCAACGTATTTATTCGGCAGTCTGTGTATTACAATAGAGAAAAGAGAAGAACAGAGAAACGGCAGGATTTAACAAAAAACAGTTTTAAAAAAGATTTTTTAAATTTGAGGCAGATTGTACAACGTCTAAAATTACCGGTTTAAGTTTCACTAAGATAATCAGGTACAAGATTACGGTCAGTAATCACTCTTCTTGACCAATAACAACCTCTTCTTCTACAACAAGCGCTTCGTCTCCTTCCAGTGGATTTTCAGTCTCATATATCAGACATTCTTCTGGAACCGCTTCTTCTTCCACAACATGTTCTTCTACTTCTTCCAGATCTTCTGGAGCAAATATGTTTGGCATATCGTCATAAAAGCTCCGACCATGCTTTCTCCGAGTCTCTCTACGCATGAATGTTTCACTTCGTCCATGGAAATTCAACTCATTCTCAATCTGAAAAACGAACAGATACCTTGAAGCTTCTTCCTATGTGTCAAACCTCAAGCATTCTCTCGGCACCAAGAAAATTCAAAACGTCGTCGTAATGAAGTGGTCCAAAACCGTCAACGTCAAATGCTTCGAGAACCAGTGGATGGTAGAGTGGTTGAGATTTGCTCAAATCCCACACCCCTTGTCTTTCTTCTTCAGTTGTGCACGATAACACTGGGCAAGCTGTCGATCTTTTCCACAGGCCAAGGCCTGCATGATATCGAAGAGAATTACGGTTGAAGTGGGAAGCGCACAGGTAGTGTCGTCCAGGTTTTTCGAGACGTGTCGTGAGATACCGATAAATCCACGGCTCCCGACACATCGAATTGATCCATTTGGTACGTAGCTTTCCGTCTTCCAACCCAGGGAACGGGATCATCGTAGTGCAATCATTAGCATGACCACATAACACACATTCGGCTTGAACACCGTACATAATTCGACGTTCGGCAATAATACTGAATGGGTCCATGCCATCCGCGAAATGAGCATTGCAGATCAGTGCTGACCGATTTGCTTTGGCCAATGCACTGAGTGATTTTTTCACAATAATCTTCTCGGTATGAATAAGAATATCCACGAGGAAAGCTCTTTCGGCATCAGAGTTCGGATTCCGAAGAGTCACCATTTCCTCAACTCTCTTCCAATCATCGCATAGAATGCACTTGCAGACAGAATTCGGTCCGCGGGGTGTTAGATCGAAATCATCAGAATCCATTGGAAGGGGTAGCGCTTCAGGATCGAGAACCATCTTTCCTTCGCTATCAACCAAGAAGGATTTCTGGCTGAAATGATAGACGCAGATACGATATCGAGTCGGTTTCGGGCGGAGAAATCGACGACGTAGCTGGAAAAAAATCGAAATATTATCGGAGGATGTTTCGAAAAATATCACCTACCCAGATAACTTTTTTAATATGAAATTTACTCGAATCGTCAAATGGAAAGAGACTATCCACCCATTTTCTCCGCGTTTCAAGATCATGTGGAATTTGGACAAGAAGATTCTTATCACTCATGCACGAATCACAAAGCACACAGAAGGTTTGATGCCAATGCTCCATTCTTTGTGGAAGTTGCTGGAATAACGTATTCGTTTTGAATGTTTTGTATAATGAAGACTAACTCTATATTCCAGATGAGACTGACAAACATTGATGGGACAAAAATGGTAAGATTGTGACAATGAGCCTTCGGTTTTTCTCTTTTGCCATAACGTCTTCATCGATTCCTCGAATTCAAGAGGCCAATCCATGATTTCTAGCCATTTCCTGTGTCGGAACTCGTCAAACGGCCAAGTCCGGATTGTAAACTTGTAGGGGAAGTTAGATGGATAATCGTTTACTATCGGTTCAACGGCACTGCACACTTGACAAAGACGTTTTGAATACGGAATTTCTCCCATCTTTTCAATCATTTCGTTTTCTTCGTCCGAATCATCGGAATACTGGGTATCCTCAAGCGAAGATATGTCTTTTGTCTCAAGTTTGATAGTAGACGTTGACGGAGTGGAAGTTCCTGGTATTTCTGCGTTGACAGTATTATTTTTTGTGACTTGCACCATGGGAGGCGGTAGAGACGCTGAAACATTTTTTATTTGAAAAAAATTGTAATCAAATCTAAACCTTCGAACTCACATTCTTGATTCCCTACATCACTTTGAACGCCATTTGACAAAAACTCCTGAATCAAGTCATCATCTTCTCCTGGAGTCATCTGACTGATTAGATCAGCATTCTTCCACAATTCTTGATCCCAGAATAACTCATCGCGGCATTTGTCCACTAAATATTTTCGTTCGCCTATTTTGTCTGCTGCAGTAAGTCTCGGATTCGGAACAGCGTTCCGTAGAAGACGCCACTCTCCAAATCCGTTAATTTCGAAGCTGCCGTCACCTATGTGAAAATCACACAAGAACTGTGTTACTCCGCCTCTCAATGCAGTTGTCAACCGAGATTTGTAATCATTGTTACCAGCAGCCAGAACGTCAATCCACCGGCCTCTCTTCGCGCGATTCTGTAACCAGTAACACATTTTCATCACATCAGGAAAGTTACTTTTATTTACAAAATGAAAATCTTACTCGTATGAAAGGGAGCATAGTAGCAAGAGGTCCGTCTCTACCGCAGAAAACACATTGAAGGTGGATGGCATCAAAATCAAATTGGATATCTTCCATTACCGAATGTCTCCCTTCCTGTAAACAGTAGCGTTGAAGTTACCACAAACTTGTAAGTTAGCTTACCACAGGACGAACGTCAATGGGAAGTAATTGATTTCCTTTCAGATTTTGCGATCCTGGTGGAAAATGAGATTCACAAAATTCTCCTCCGTGCGATCCCTCACAAGCCATTTCCCGCAGCCACAATTCTGCAGACCTTTCTTCGTCCAGATTCGAGCGGAGGATCCATACTTTTCTCATCCTCAGATCACCTGGTAGCACTCGAAGTTTTCCCACGGTCTTCTTACGACAAACGTGGCAATACTTCATGTAATCGTTGCGACGTGTATACTCCTGTTGCTTGTAACGATCATAATACCTTGATTGAGAATGATCGATGAATCCTGTTGGTTGGGTACGAGCTCTTTTCCTACTAAGTAACTCTTTCATTGTCATATCGGGTGAATGATGCTCTAGAAACTCAAGATGTGTAGACAATAACGGTGCACGAAATGATGTCTGTAAAAAATAATCCTGAAACGAAAAAGCAACATTAACACCATACTCCTTGAACATTTTCCGTTTCAAAATGTGCTTCGTAGTCATTGGGATTTTCCGCTATCATTTTATCATGGCATTCTGCAGGAATATCCTCATCATCCTGAAATAATTCTCAATTTTAGACAGTTTCTTAAAAATTTTTAATCACCTCGGCCGGATGCGTTGATGTACTTGGCCGCTTCGACATCTGAAATATAATTCAAATTTTCGTTCTTTCTTTGAAAAAGTATTCTGAGTAATGAAAAAAAAACGCGAAATCAGCTTTCAACGCGAAAAGCGGTGGTTGTTTTGTTGAGAACTGAACCTCCGCCTCCTTGCAACCCTGGCACGCCATTTCGCAATGCGGGCGCATGCGAATAACTTTTTACTCATTTTATTATGCCACCTAGTGAGAAAAGTTCCGCTTTTAAAAATTCAACTGTTAATCCCCGGAAAGTGAATTATCACTTCAGAAAAATAACATTCAAAAACTTTGAACATATTGTTCTTAGTGAACTTTTTGCAATCTGCCGATTTCTCAGCACACAAAGCTTTTTACCAATTTACAAAACTGGTGTTTAAATTATGTCTGGATATTATTATTACTCGAAACGGTATTTTAGAATTGAAAAAAAACTGGCACTTGAAAATTTAAAATGTTTGCTTGAAAGCCTCATCTCTGTTGTGGAGCGGCTAGATCGTAAATTTAAAATGTTCGCCTCGCTCGCGCGATTTTCGCAATTGGGTTGGGCTTTTTCAGTGAAAAATGAATTATAGAGATGCTAGCGATCATATTTCTACCGAAAAATCCGAACTTCGTTCAGAAAATCCCATCAATTTCGTCCAGTATACGGTTTCAGATTTAGGGGCGGAGCCTCGTAAATCAACACGCGTGCGAGATTTTCGGCAATCACTCTTTGACTTCACATTCTCTTTGACTACAAAGTCTCTTTGACTACACTTTTTAAAATTTTTTAATTTTCTGCAGTTTTTGTGGGCGTTCTTACAGAATATAAGAAGAATTTGAGCCTAAGCCTATAATTTTAAACAAAAAACTGACAATTCTAAAAATACATAACAGTGAAAAAAGTACTGAAATTCGCGAGAATCAGCAAAATTCTCTTTTTTTTCGCTGAAATTTCCTAAATTTTATTATTTTCTGTACAAATCAAAGGCTTAGGCTGAAACGGTTACCGGAAAACAGGTGTTTTAGCCTAAGCCTATAATATGAGACAAAAATCGGAAACTCCAATAAATTCAGTCAAAAAGTACTATAAAACAAAAAAGTGTAGTCAAAGAGATTTTGTAGTCAAAGAGAATGTGGAGTCAAAGAGTAGGTGTAGTCAAAGAGTGGTGTAGTCAAAGAGTAATTGCCGAGATTTTCAGGTGCCAGTTGTTTTTTGATTCGACAATATTTGCATATCGAGGTGTTGAGTCCAGAACTGTTGAAGGCTTTCCGTTGATACAATGGCATGGTTAGCATATCTAAAAAATTCATTACCCCCACTTGATCACATCATATTTTGATGAAATCTTATTCATTCAATTAAAACTTTTAGATGACGAATTAAATCATAGACATTGTGCATTGTCATTTACATTCATTTCAGTTTCACACTTATTCGACAGAGAAAATTGGATCTTCAGATACGATATGGAAGTGGTTTGAAATGAGAGGAAAACGATGACATCGAAGAATGCAGTCAGGGACAGAGCTTTTTCTTGTTAGTGAAACAACAAAGTTCTACTTGTTGGCATATAGGAACGGAAGAACGTTTGATGGATGAGTGGGAAAGGGAGATACCGCGTAGTAGGAAATGGGGGCTCGAAAGATCGATGGATGCAGTTGTGAATAAAAGAACTGAGATTTCAGAAAATTGGGGAAAATGCACAGGGGAGAGCATAAAACCGTAAATCTGAATTCATGTTCCTCACACAGAACGCATTTGACAGTATTTAATTACACGATTGGATTGATAATTGATACTTACAAAGTTATTAAATCAAGAAAGAGGATGAAAAGGATTCAGAAGAGGGAAGAAGAAGCATCGAGAATTATGTTACAAATGAATACGAGCAAAAATGATTAAAATACAATATGCGATGATTTTTATGTGTCGGCAGTTCTACTGTACACGGCACACATCACGATCGCCTTCTCCTTCTGCATTCGTTTGTCCATGCCAGTCAGCTAGTTGACACCGAATCGTATCGAGGTCCTTATCGAGATCAGCGAGTTTTGCACATTGTTTTGAGAGCTGAAAACAAAAAATGGATAATCTTCTAATGAGTTTATAGTTCTTACAGCAGATTCGGCAGACATCATTGAGAATGGTTTTGACTCATCGGCCTCATGGTCTTCTTCATCATCCATTTCACTTTCAGACATTACATTCAGCTTGACTCCAAGAAGTCGAGCCACATCAGGATTCTCTCCTCGAGCCATTCGATCTACAGTATCTTTCAGACATACAACCATTGCTCGGCACATTGTTATGTGACGGTTCTGTTCACGAATCGAACGACTCATCATCGGTGTTATGTCGTCGCGTTGTTTCGACGAGTTCAGTGCAAAGTTCGAGAAACTTTTGGTGAGACCGCTGGATTTGGAATGTGAAAGTGGAGACATGTTGTTAGATCCCAATGTAGAATGTGCCTGAAAAAACAAAATTTGTTGAACTTTCCTATGATCGAAGCCATACCTTGGTGTACGGTCGGGCCAGCGAGGGACGTATATCTGACATCGTCTCCATCTCATCAGCCAATGGTGTTGAACCAGATGAACACGACTGTTGACAGATGGTTTGCTCCAGCCGTAGAGTTGATACACTTCTTTCTAATTCTTCAACAGCTCGCTTTTTCGCTTCAAGCTTCTTGTTCAAATTCTCATTTTTCAATTCAAGATATCCTTTCTCCGACCGCATTCTCTCGAACTCCGCTTCCTTCTCTCTCAACCGAGTCAACAACGTTCTGCTCTCCTGAAGTTCTCGCTCTTGCTTCCAGATCTTGTCACGAAGATCGTGATACTCTTGTTCATTCGTATGATCTCCATTCTGAGCAGCGGCACGAGTTTCATCCAATTCGCCCTCCAGCTGATGAATCTTCTCAACACAGCGAGTCAAATCGTCTCTTGCTCTCTCTGAATCATACATCAATCCTTTTATTCTTCCTTGATAATCTTCATTTAGACGTTCAATTTTTTGATAAGCCTTCAGTAACTTTGATTCTAGAGATGTGACTTTACGTTCCTTTGTAGCCAGCTCTTCGCTCATTTCCTGAACTCGAAGTTGTTCACTTGTGGACATTCCAATACTTCCATTGAAGTGTGACGATTTGGATGAAGAATCTGAATAATTTATTTATTATCAAAATCTAATCAGAAAGATATCATGTTATCCATTTAATGCGATTAAAAACGATTATCTCACTCTTTTCACTCTCAATTAGCGGCGATTTGTTGAATTACAGTTCAAAATTTATAACTCATAAACTATCATACCTCCTACGTTTTATAGCTGATAACTTTCTGATCGATTTAAAAAAAACACTTACGTCTCGACTGATTAGGTGTAGAGTGCGTACTCTGTTGTTCCTTCTGTGCCAATTCTAGTTCTCTGATTCTCTTCTCCAGATAAGCGATCCTGGCATCACTAGCATTGTTGACTGGTCCATCAACTGGAAGAACTTCGAGACATTGTGAAACATACTTGTTCGGGAATTCCTGTTCCCGAAAACTTTCCGGAAATTTTTTCCGATAAATCGGGTTCCCAAAAAATTTCCCGAAAAAATTTTCGGGAAATTTTGTTCCCGAAATTATTATTTGGGAATTTTCGGGAATATCGGGAAAAATCAAGAAGTTGGTTTTTCAATGAATTTTTGTCTATTTTTCTCAATTTATGTTGAGATCTGTCAATTTCTTTACGTTTCTCAAAAGTGTCGAATAAATTCGCTTGGAAAACTATTCAAAAAACAAAAAAATAGTTGAAAATTTGAGAAATCTACAAAAACAATAATCGGAAAATTTCCCGTTTTTCCAGGAATTTCGTGAAAAAATTTTCGGGAAAAATTCCCGAAAAAAATTTCGAGAAAATTCACGTCGGGAAAAATTCCCGGGAAAAAAATTCGGGAAAATTCCTGGCGAAAAAAATCCCGAAAATTTTCGGAAAAACCGGGAAAACGGGAATCCCGATTTCCCGATTTGAACAAGTCTGTTGTGAAAAATCGAGCTTTTTCTAAACTCACCAAGACGTTCTTCTCCTGGATGACGCATCAAGAAATTCGTGTAAGCCGGAAGGTTCATCTGCCCACCGCTTCCACGTCGATCTGTGCGCATTTCATCTCGAGATTCGCTCAAATGTCGACTCTTGTGAGCCAACGGAGCAACTGCGACCTGAAGAAACATTCCATTAAATTTTTATATTGATTTTAAATACTAAAAATCGTATCTAGCTGAGTTTTATTATAAATACCTCCGGTCTTTTCTTTCTATTTAATGCGGGACTGCCTGATTGTGCCCGTAATTTTGAGGAACCACTGATTGTCTCAATCTGATGATGAGACGAGTGATGACGGGGCGCTGGTGGAAGATGGTGACTATTTCCATTTTGGTCTGACGTTGGCGATGTTGAACCGCCAGTCAGCCGTTCCATCATTTTTGTATAGAACCTGCTCATTGCTCCACCGCAACAACAAATGTTCATCCGCCACACAAGGATTAGAAGCACGGATCAGTGTTCACATCAAAACAATTTTTAAACTGATTTTCGACGATGATGCGAAAATTTTTTAATTTTGTTTATCGCCGTTCCTATATATTATATACACAGCGGTAGGTATGAAGGGTTCGTTTCGCTGGAATTGATAAAATGGAATTCGGAGAACGAAAATGAAAAGAAGAGGAGAGGAAAAAACAAGAGGCGGCGGACATGAAAGGAGAAGCATAAAAGACGAAGAAGAGAAGCCACGACAGCCTGGAAAAATGAACGGACGACGAATTGATGACTGATAGGAGAAAGAATTCGAGGAAATACTAAAGAAATAGATTTAAGAGTGGGGCGGCGACGGCGGCGCCACCAAAGAGGTGACCATGGTGGCCATAAATTCTCCAAATTGCTAACTGGTCCACATGTTGATTGACCCGAAATGTTGTGAGAATTATCAGTCTTCCCTGATACCATTCGTGGGTGGAGGCGGTGAGAAAATCGTGGTGAATCCATAAAATGTACTCGTGAATGCAGTTCGTTAATGTATGAGATTGTGAAAAAAAGAAGAAGATGATGATCACAATCGTTCGCAGTAACGAAATGAATATGTGAAAAGTTGAATTGAACTGCGAGAAAAACGACGATTCTCCGAATTCGAATTGCAACCAAGATAAGAATCAGCTATATGTGGGAAGGACGATTACTAGTTGATGGCAAGCGATGGGAAAGAGGAGGAGGCAAGTGAAATTGTGAAAAAAAAATAGTTCTGCAATTTTGAATGTTCAATTAGATGGAAATAACTAGAACGCGAAGAGCAGCGAATACTACCCAAAAAGTACTATGCTTCGAAAAAGGTTTCTCTCTTTTTTCTAGATGGAAAATTTAGAGAACAATAGCGAAAACGTCCGGATGTGAGTCATAACTGTTCATAACAATTTCAAAATTCTATCAATTCAAACAACATTTGGTAATGTTCGGCATCTCAACGCTTAAAAAGGCCCTATTATCCTTGTATTCCCGATTTCTAGGTCAGTATCACAAGTTGAAAAAGAAATGTGAGTAATCGAGAGCGAGAAAGAGAAAGAAGAAACAATGAAATGAGTGACATTGAAAGAATGGTAATAACATTAAAACATCACGGGAGTCTAGGATAAAATAGGTCTCGGTGTGAAAAACGTCGAAATCGCCGAAGAGGGGGATATCATGCGCTACTGCGGAAAGACTCGTCCGCGTGCGTTTCTGGAACTAAAGTAGACTCTGAAAAGTACGGAGGATCGCAGAGAGAAGGAAATTCGGGAAAAAGACTGTGGGTTTCGGTAGAAACAACAGAGAGAAAAACGACACCACCATACACTCTATGCTTATGATGATGGGCATAGTGAGGTGCAACGCAACGCGCGCGGAAAAAAATGGGCAAACAATCTTCTAGGCTTCTGCAAGATGGACACAGAGACAAGCGGATGGTCATGGCAATCGTATGGCTCTTGAGCCAACAAAAAAACAGCTATGGCAATTGAAAAAGTGATAAGCAGGAAGAAGTATATAGGAAGTGGGGTTCACAGTCTCCAAATTGCTAAAAACTAAAAGAAATTATGACCTGTAAGCGAAGAATAAAAAAAACAGTAGCAAATGAAGCATGAACAAAAACTAACATATATAATCGGTAATAAAAGTAGTCGCGCGTGTCAAGACTTTCCAAAATGCCTACAATTTTTTGGTGGAAACAATGTTGGTTTAATTACAGAAAGGCAGTTAAAAAACCGAGAGAAATGTAGAGAAAGGGCTGCATTTTGAAAAATTAGCATTTTGGAGAACATGAACCCGACTCGAAATAGGAAAAATTATGATAATAGTGTAGAGGATATAGAGAGAGTGAGAGGAAGGGTGTGGTAAAGGACAACAGGAGAGGTGGAGGAGGAGAGGAAATCGAATTATTCGAACCGGGTCTCCACAATTCCATGCATTTTTTCTCTCCATATTCAGCTAAAAAAGAGGAGATGGAATGTATTTTGGAAGAAGCTTCGATGAGAAGATAATTATAAAGTTTGAGGAAAGCAGGTAATTATTCGCGGTGAAAAATCTAAAGAAGAAAGGAAGGAAAGCAGAAAATGACATAAAACCGTTTGACGGTATAGGGGAATTGAAGACCGGGAACGGATATGTCAGTCATACGGACAAGACATCATCACGATAAGAATCAAGACAAGCATGGAAACATAATGAAGGATAAAATCCTGAAGACTTTGGGTCAAAAATGGAAGTTTGAACTTCAGATTTGAATGGAACCCGTGATTTTTGAGATCCCTACTTTTTGAAACCAATGCGCACGGCTCGCTGAGTGTAACTCGACACTTTCGACCCACTTCGATCGAAGAGGTGACACATTTAACGATACATATATCTGTGCATAGGGTTATGTGCTTTGTGTGGTGCATAGAACCACCACCACCACCGTCGCCACATGTTCTAATGTATCGTATAAATGATACAGATTATCGTTTCAAAACTACGAAAGAGAACTGTTTGGTTAACAACTCAAAAAATAGAACAATTAGAAGAAAAACCGAAGAAGAAGAAGACGAGCCAACGGACAACAATGGCGGCGCCACGGACAGAGACCAAAAAAAACTTGACACTATTTACCCAAGAGGAAAACGGGGGTTTCGTGATTGCCGAAAAAAAAGGAATTCAAAGGATTCAGTGTGTATTTATTGTTTTTTTTTCTAGTTAAAAAGATGACTAGACTGCTGAAATCGAACAATATAGCGACAAGGACAAAGATGGAAGTAAAGAAACGCATCAATCAGAACGCTGACGAATGCATTCATGTTCTAGTTGTTCTAGTTGTTCTAATTAGGGAAAAAGGTAGAAGAGGACTTTTTTCCACCGAAATTACGAAAAAGACAGTAAAATTCGGAGGATCACATGTTGTATACTATCGCACATTTACTGAAATAGAAAACAGGTCACAGGATTCACATCAGAAGAAAAGAAGTATCTGGCGGCATATGCTTCGAATGATTTTTCACCAGCACATCCTCTTACTCAAAACCTATGGAAACGCGAATAAAATCAAAAGGAACAGAGTAGTGGCCACATTTTGTCACCGTCTGCTGTATTGTCATATGGCTCTTAGTCTACTAAGCCGGTGGAGCACTGATGGATACAAAGGAATCAACAGAGAGACAAAGTGCTACATTTATTTTAGAATCGCTAGAATAAACGAAATAAGGGATTTGGAAAAATTCTATGTTGGATAACCTTCAAGTTCAGATCTCTAATTACTTTGAATAAAATGATTATATTCAAATCAAACGAAAATATTTGATGAATATTTTAGGAACAGTAAAAATATATTAAAATAAATCTGAAATCGGACAGATAACAGCATGAATCAAACAAAAACAAGAGGCGACAAAGAAAAGTATCTCGATTGCTGAGAAAGACTATTGAAAGTGATGAAACGTAGGCAGTGATGCAAAACTAACTGAGACGAGATGAAGAAGAAGAGAAGAGAACTGCAGAGTGAGGGACAGAAAAAAACTATTCAGAATACATGAACAAAAAAGAGGAAGGACAGAAAATTGAATGCATTCGTTCCTCAACGAATACCATATATTTCCGAACAGTAATTGGTGTGAATAGAAGAGGGTGTGGAAGAGTGAGAAGAAGTACAATAATAAAAAGGTTCGGATTCAGGTAAACACTCATTCGTATAAACACAATGGATTGAATGTTTGCCGCGTTTTGTAGAAAATGTTTGTAAACTTTCCGAAAGGATCTTCTTCTCTACTGACTCTTTGGAATAGATACAACTTATAGAGAATGTGAAGCCGAAAACAAAATTAGCTGACTCCGAAGCCAAGGACATTTTGACACTCCTTGAGAGACAAGGAGCGTCTAGCCAACCCCAGATTAACACCAATAAGAACATAAAAAGTGGCCACCGTCAAAATCACCAATTTGTGAGATTGCATCTGCAATCGCCCGACCGTCGGAAACTGGGTTTTTGCATGAGGGAATGTGAACAGTAGAGGACAAATGAGGCGTTCAGACGATATAGCCAAAAAAAAAACGAGAAAGTGTGAAAATAGGGTGTGAATTTAAAAATAAACTTTTTCAAAAAACGACTTTTGATTGATTATTCATCCAGATCAACTTTTTAAAACGTTTTTAAAAAGAATCGACCGTTGGTATTTTGAAGTTCAGCTTTTACGGTTTTCTCAAGGAAAAAAAAACTAACCTGATTTTTAGGTGTTGATGTGTTTTTTATTCCATCGACAAATGAATTCCTTACTGGGTTTCCGATGTTGTGAACACTGCGGCGTTGGCTGAAATCAAGAAAAAATTAATTGATCGAATATTCCAGACGATCTTTCATCAGTTCTGATTTTTATCTATTTGTAAACCTTCTTTTCCAGCTATGTCGGTCTTTGTTCCGCATATCTGCTTCTATTTCGGAGCACTCCGTATCTGATATCGTAAACAGGGAGTCATTACAAGAACACGATGGTCGTATTGACCATCTCGCCGAATTCTCTGTTTTTCCTGACACTAATGACATAGTATCATCGGAGCTCTACAATCTGTGACACGATAATGATAGAAGAAAAACGAATCGATGAAAAGTGTGAAATAGTAGTTGGATAAAAGTTGAATCAAGAGAGAAAGAGGATGGAGAATCGGTGTGAAGAAAGGAAAAGAGAAAAGAAAAATTCATACCTGCTAAAGTTTGCATTCAAAAAGAACATTCAAGGTTACATTCTTGATATTCAGTTTGTTCTCGTTGTAATACTTTTTTTGTGAAGCTCAGAGGCAGCTAGTGGGAAATTTTCTCAAAAAAAAAAAAAGAAGAAAAAACTACTAAAGTAAACGGAGAAGAACGGGAGAAGAGCAGCTAGAAAAAAAGAGCCTTAATGACCAAGATGACCACTTACAATGAAGTTTTTTGCTCTATCTCTATCAAGCAGTAGTCAGCTGGTCAGCACTGATCCCGAAAACTAAAAGAAACACAATACAATGGAATCGATGTAGAAAAAGAAAGGGAAGGATGGGAGCCAATTTGGGACAGACCCCGTGTCTTCCTCCCGTCTTCTTCTTCTTCTCATTCCGGACGAAAACGTGACGGCTGCTGGCAATGGTTAGAGCCAACAGACGCACACATGAATTAACTGGGATTTAGATGTGTAAGGGCACTTTTATTTTGTAGGCGTTCATTCGATGGAGAAAAGTTTCGGGAATAATATTTACTGAAAAGAAGAAGGAAATGAGCATCAACTGGAGGCGCAGAACTTTTTTCTTGATGAAAATTTTTCAATAAATACTTTCCCTCACGTTTTCATCTTGAATTCAAAAACAAGAAGGAGAAGGCAATAAATGCCAAAATCGAAAATTTTGTGATTCAAAAGGGAAAAATGAAAAGGAAGATAGGAAGAAGAAGACAGACGGGACCACTTCTCAGTGAGTGATCCATACCGTCACCTTCTTTTACGACATGTATTAGTGTCCCGTTGTGTCCTTCTTCAGAAAAGGACGTCGTCGTTAGTAAATGTGCATGCAATATGCGCATTTTATATCGGTTTACTAACCCAAACGGCCGCTCATCTAATTCATGAAATATTTCAAAGAGAAAATCTAAATTAGTGTTTCCAGTGAACGAAAAGTTTGGGAATTCAGACTATAACGATTGATGGAAAGAAATAAAAACAACGATCGTTCACTCATCATATCATTTGATCTGAATGAATTCGGAACGATAAATAAATTGGACAGGAAATAAAACAAACAAAGATTTCAATGACGCGGGGGATGAATCTTAACAACAAACACAGTTTGCTGACAGGAACTGTGAGAAAGTTTTGTTTTCTGCCTTCAGATTAAACAATGGTTTTGACACTCTCGGAAAAGAAGCTCTTCTTGACAGAAGAGGTTCATCGAAGACGAAGAGGAAGAAGGAGAAGATGCAGAGACGAAACGATATATGAATAATGAGGACAAGAGGAGCTCCAATTAGAAGGAACTAGAGGGTAGCGGAGTCATCCATTCTCTCACATATGCACTCTTCGGTTCCCACTGAATTTCTTGCGATTTCGCGACATTTGCAACATCTGACCGATGTGTCAAAATAAGAAAAATGACATTTCTACTCTACTAAACTTCTCAAGGGAGACCAAACTTGAAAACAAATGAATTTCAAATGTGATATGCCAAGAATTTCGTAACGTCTACAATGTAGAAAAGGAAGTTTAGACTAAGATTTTGAATAAAACGACAATTTTCGAATGTTAATGTTCCCGATAAATCAAATTTATTTCTGCACATCTTCACCCCGTAACCCTCCATTCCGCTGATTGTTATTCCTAACAAGAGGAAGGACCAATTTTCGAGTCAAGTGGGAAAATAAGAGTTTCAAACCACAAGAACCAATGGAAATGGGTAGTGAGAGAAAAGAAATGCGCGAAAGATTTATGAAATATGATCCTTGAAAACCAGACGACGGTGTCTTGGAGTTAGAAAGAAAAAAGAATTACATCGAAAGAGTTTCAAGAAACATCAAAGTAACCGCAGCAGAGCAATTCAAACTTTCGATCGAGATTTGTTGGTCATGAAAGTTTGATTGATAGTTGGAAACATATGAGTTTCTTTGAAATCCGCATTCAAAAGTTTTGCCTGGGAAATCTAACCGAGTGAAAACTTTAGATGTGGAAAGAGAACGAAAAAGCTACAGGGCAGGGTTAAAGGGAACCTATGCTTGAAAATAAAAATACCAAAGGCAAAAATGAGCAGAACAACTACCTAACATAAGTAAGAATTTCCAATAATCACCAATACTGTTCTCGAAAAAAAGATGTCATCTTTCAAACGCTTAGCGAGTGGAATCTAACAGGAATTTAGACTTATTTATTATGAAATTTGGACATTTTTTTTTCAAATTTCTCATACCGAGGAATTCAAGCAAATTTTTGTAATGGGGTAAACCTGTTTGCAGGTGCCTCATAAGTTTTAGTTTTTGCAGGTACCACATAAGGGTCGACAATCTTTTTCTTTTTAGATCATATTATTTTTAGAAATATAAAAACTCACTCAATACTGTACTGTGGGGCACTGCTCGAATCGCAAATCTGGTTAACACTGGCAACACGAACTCGACTTCCTACATTATGAATCGGAGAATTTACAGCAAGATCCGACGGTGAAAACTGAGATCTTCCTCCACTGGGCGATCCGTTCGAAAGTTGGTAGAGTGCTGATGCTGAAAGCTCATTGTCCGGTCTGACTCGATTACGCCTCCATGTGCTCGCACGCCCGTGTGAAACTGATCGCATAAACTTGGTGCTTCCTCGAATAAGTTCGACACTTCGCGGCTCCCTAATTGACTGCATTGTGACAGTAAAACTTCGTGATAGTCACGAGGGCTAGAAAGTGAAATATAGCAGAAAAATGAAAGTGAGCACTTGAAATCTAGTGCATACCGCTACACACACACAGATACAAACAAAAACTTTTCTATCAGTTTTCTCTAAAAAGGAAAAGGTGACTGTCAAATATACTGATAAACCACCGGCACCACGCTAAGACGCGACAGAGATGGAAATATACGACGTGCCGTCAGCGGGTCTGTATGTTTGTACGTGTGGTGTGTGTGCACAATTCGATTCAATTCAATCGGCCGATTCACACAAACTTTCTTCTGCACTATCTGTGCTCTAGCTCACTGTTTCTATTTCCCTGTGTCCACTCAAAGCGCACCCACTTTCTCTGTTATCACAATCAGTAGCGAACATTTTCTCTCACGCGGGGCTATCTAACAAGTTAACTGTTGCAACAGCGAAAAAATAAGACTTACAACCGTTCAAAGCTTGAAGACTACGACGGCGATCTACGTCGATTTTGTGATGAGCGACGAGATCTTTGTCGTTACTCATATGATGATGTTGTCGATTTGGATTTAAGTGATTCTGTCGACTGGTAATCTGCTGGGCAGGGTTAACGATGGCTGTTGGGGCGATGAAACTTCCGCTAGTACTGTCACAGGCCGCCCGAACACTTCCGTTTGGGTTCAATGAAAGATCACTGGCCTGCAAATTTTTATTTATCGGAATTCTTTGGTTTCAACTTTTTCGAAAATATCATTCGATTATGGCTCTGTACCATTTATTGAGAATTACCTGAAACTGTGAATTGTTGTACGATCGGACACGCTGTACGTCTCTCAACGACTGCGTCGAATGACATCTAGGCACAGCGTCTCTTGGCTCAAATCCGGCTTCAACAGCATCTCGACGTGATGTATCCCCACGCTTTCGAAGACGAACTGGAAAAAACCTTTATTGATAAAGTTCTCACAAACATTCCAGTGTTTTGTAACCTGTTTCTAAATATCAGTAGCCTTAAATATCGAATCTATTATAGAATTCTGATACAAAAAAGTTGGAGCTGTGGAAGAGAAACGCCGGTAGCTGTGGCCGATGGTCCGACAGCGACAACTACCGTAACCCAAAACTATTTGTATTGCCCGGATTTTTCTTCTTGTCCAGTTCTCTGTTATTTGTTTTCTAACAATTCGAAAAACAAAATGTTTCTCAATCTAAAAAATTACCGGAAAACGGACTAAAGTCGGGACAAAAATATGAAAGTAAAACATATTTGCTAACTACAATATTATCGCTGTCTGAAAAAATGTAGGTTAGAAAGTATTTTTTGCAGTCTGAATACGGTAGCAATATCGAAGCGACGAGCCTAAATAGCACATATTAATTGGAGACGCAGACTTCAACCTTCATTTTTTCAGACAGCGAAAATACTTCGGCCGTGGCCGCGGCCATCAGGTTTTCTCTTCCACAATTCCGATTTTTGCATACCACCATTATATAATAACTTTTCATTGTTAACTATGGTTCCGAAGAAAAAACCCTGTTGATCCCGAAAACAATTATCCTAGCCACGAGATAGCCCCCCTCTTCATCTTCCGGTGTAATTTCTTAGAAGATGCCGCTGATCGGTGATAAAACATAAAGAAGATGACCACCAGGCAATGACTCAGTAACCGTATGTCAGTCAAACATTTATGATCCCTACAATTATCCGAACAAATTCTGTGGACTTACGGCTCCCATGACTTTTCCGCCGAATCGGTGTTTCTTCATTGTATTTATCATTGGGAACATAAATCTCCGGTATGCTACGAACAATAGCAATATCCGGAGAAGGAGATGTGGACCGAGATGATAACTCTGTCCTTGGTGCAATAATTACAGTAATATTCGGCATGAATCCAGTACAATACGATTGCAATGTAGATAATACTTTACAACCAGCACAGACTATGCACATTTTCGTTCGATTAATAGCATCTAAGTAGTTCGAATATACCAAAAAAGAAATAATACAAGTAGGTCGTCGTTGGTAATCGTTAATCACTTCAAAACAACATAACTATCTGTAAGTGTTATGTATTTTTTCGTGTAATCAATCACCAGCCATGAGTCGATCAGCAGCTACAAAGCTAGGCTCTCATCTGACAACAAAGTGAGAAAAGAGCGAGAGAAGCCACGAAAAACTAAGAGCAGGTTCGAAATGAAATGATATTGAGACCTCGCCCTGGGGGGAGAGAAAGATGCTCTCATATCATCATCACAAGTAGTTTTCTCGCCGCGTCCGCCCTCACTTTGGATCAATCAGCCGAAGTGGGTCCACGAACAACGTTGTCGTTTTTTTTTTTTTGCTTCTTTACACACATTCAATGGATATTCTCTTCCTGCTTTCTCGTCTTGTCTTTGTGATCCGCTCATAAAATATCGAGTTATTTGTAGGCCTACCAGTGCGCCGATCAGAAACAAATGTGCAAAAAGAGATTCCGGGGATTCGATTCTATTTGCAGTAATCCATTTCATTTACCCCTTTTTTGCCTTCACTCGTGGCCACTCTCAATTTATGTACCTTTTGCGAGAGGACAAGCAAGACCATCTGCTATTGCATAATTGGATGACAGGAGGTCGATGTTTCACCATTACCCATAATCAGAGTCCTAGTCTTTCGATGGCATATGGAATGATGATAGTCAGATAGTAAAGCTTATGGATCTGAAGGTTGTGGGTAGCTTCATCGAAATACGGTTATTTGAAAAAATCCAATGTTCTTAATTTCTCTGTCTTCTTGTTCCATTTCAACTCAAGTCGACCTTTAAGGTAAACGAACTAATGTAGCGGAAACTAATCGTTGAGAACTGATGTTCTTGATCGCTTCTCTTGAAAACGACACCACTTCTAACATCTTCGTATCCTTTTTCCCATACCATAATACCAGGAGACTACCCCAAATTACTCAATAAAAGCGTCGTTGTCGAAAAGAGGGTTCGGTTACCCGAGTCAAGGTCAAAACAAGTAAGACGAACAACTAATATTTACCACCTTCACACTGGGATAGTATACCAAGTAGTGACCAACAGGTTTCTTTAGATGTATTCAATCGTTCCTTTACACCCGAGCCTATGCTTATACACCTCGTACAAAAACAGTGTAGAAAAATAGCAGATGAGCGCGTTCCATCCCATTCCTCGAGGAAGAGGAGATGTGAGGTCAGATAACCAGAAAAGCGCGTCAGAATGTGAAAATATATTTGGGAAAGAAGTGGATCCCCAGATGAAGATGACCACAAGCTTTCGTAGATTAACAGCGATAAGCACCCATGAAATTCTTCGAAAACCGTAAAACAGGGACAATAGGAGAAAAAACATACGTTTAAAGCAGAACGGTGCTATATTTTCAGCCATATGGGAACTTTCCAAATAAATAGAAGAAACTAGAGAAGAACAATTAAATGGGAAAAGTTTTTCTTTTCTTCCAAAAACTCTGCCCACATTTAAACGATAAAGGCGCTGTTCTTCAAATCGTTTCAGTGGCTGATGGCTGTTAACCGGGATTCTTGAAGATGTATTATTATGAGAGATGGGTGTTCGGTAGAGTATAAGGACAGGTTTTTGAAACGAACACTGCAATTGTGGCAGTCGAAAGAGTATACCGACATGTGCAACATATTGAAGAAAAAAAGTAGAATGCAACAAAGAGAAGCATAATTCATTTCGAATGATTGGCAGGCGAAGGCCAGAATTATTCAGAAGGCTGACGATATATTTGAAAGCGTTCAAAACGGAATACATTAGGAGGTATACTTTCGGTCCGTAGACCCATAATGAAAAACTGAATATGAACATTTTGTAAGTTTTGCAAACGAAATGAGAAGATTGGTCATTTCAATTACTTCTGCATCTCATGTTTCATGTATATAAATCATTGAGCAATTATTGTCTCGTAATAGCGGCTTACCTTCTTTGTCATTTTTTATCCAACCAATTATATTACTGCAAATCGAAGCCATGAGCGAATCAAAAAGTGTTCGTATTTCGAGAAATACTAGTAACACTTTCTGTGAAAATCAGTGGCTTATGAATTCAGGAGTAACAGTTGGGGATAGATATTTGGAGAAGCAAAAATCTCAGCGGGATACGAACGTAGGTGATGTTGATTAGAACATTTCCTAGAAAACGAGAGTTAGGTTATTAATCAAGAGGTGATCGAAGAAGAGAATAAGAAGAATAAATGCAACAGACGATACATGTACGGCGGTTTGTAAACTAAATTATTCAGATATGAGGATAATATCTTTGCGGTGGTTGTTGTCTTCTCTCAGTCTCTTCTTCTCAGAAGATGACCAACAATGAAAACGGTCAAGACTGTTGCGGATATGCACCGGTACGATGCTAGCGACGTAACGGGCATGGCCAGTGGATAGAGGAGACGAGGCATACGCTCTACCAAGCAGAGACTCAGCGAGTGTCTGGGTGAATACATTCTATGGATGGGTGGACGGGACACACAAAAAAGGCGTGGCCATTGGGCAGCTTCTAAGAACGTACCGCTTCATTAAAAAAACAGCTGAATAACTAATTGATAGATAATTGAATGAAAAAGTAGAATTGTGGTACTACAGTAAGACTAATTTGAAATTTCGTTCTACAGTTGGGAATTACAAAAAACCTGTAATAGAAAAATTTATTAGTTTTTAACTTTGAGAATGTATCTCTATTGTTAAAGATATGAAAATGTTGTCAACTGACAAATTGTTATTCATAATATCACAAATATTTTATCAGTTGACACATTTCTGATATCTTTCACAGGAGTCAAGAAAAATTAGTTCAAACTTGACAGTATAGAGGTTCAGTTTTTACGTTACTATGTTAGGGCGAAGGGTGGATAACCCAGGGCTCTTCTCGCTTACACATCGCCAAGGTACCATCGTAAGAGGCACAAAGAATGATGACGAATCGAGTATGACTGACAGGTCCCGTTCTCTTTGCCAAGTGGGAACAGAACACAGGTGGACATAAAACCGAAAAAGGAAGAGTGTCAGGGTAAAACGCCATTAGTGCCATTTGGAATGGGAACACTAAAGACTCTCCATTTCACACAGAACCACTAAAAGCTTTTGGTTATGTTTTGAAAATGTTGGGTGGTGATTATTTGCACACCTTTTCATGCATACTATGCTTTTCCTTATTTTGACCTAATCGGGTTATAAGAATCATTACTGCGCTTATTGCTGAATCGCTTGAAAGATTCAAGTTTTGAAGATAAAAAGAATAGCTATGAATTCAAATGTTATAAAAATGTCATATTTAAATTTAGTCGTTTTAATATAATCCGCCTCATCCTGATGTTAGAAGAAACATTAAAAGTTTAGACGAAATTGCAGACAATGGCAGACTAGATGTGAGTACGCTCTCCCTAAAAATGATTGATTCGCCATAAGATGTTGTCTGAATGATTTACAACTATTGGATGTCATCTACGGCATATATTAGATGCGCTTCGTAACTAACAGACACACGCTGACACAAAATGTGCTCTATTTCGTAAAACGTACAGGTGCAGGAAACGAGCGAATCTTTACAAAAAAAACCAAAATAGATGACCCTTTACGAACCCCAACAGGTGCATAGGAAATAGCATTCAACATGAGAGACTGTATCAATAGTTCACAAATTTACAGACAGATGGCTGGATCCAGCTGTCGCCTTCTTTTCTGTTGGAATTCAACTGCTTCGATTTATATTTCGAAGGAACGAAATATGTTCTTTATGACTGAGCTCAATAGAACAATTTGGTGGACTCACCTGTCACACTTTTGATAATGCTCTTCTTGGCCAACCGAGGCGAAGGAGGTTGCAACATCTGAGAATCTAGACCAGAATATAGGAAAAATCAACAGATTACAAGCATATTGCTCGTTTCGTGAATAGGATTTTGTCAGAAGAAAGAACTAATTTGAAGAGCAGTTAAGAGCAGCACCAGTGGGGTGTGGCTTCCACAGATCTTCCTTCTGTTCCGTCTTCTTACTGCACGTTTCAATCGGTCTATCATTATTCAACTTGTGCTTCTCAGAGATTCTCCGACGAGTGCGTCTTCCCCGTCATTTTTTGTGTCCTCTTTAACTCATTAGAGAGGCCCCCTGAACCCACTGAGATAACGCATGAAATCCGGAGGGACGACGATGGTGTCGGCTGCTTCGATCGTCGGCGACCACACACAAGCGCCGACGACACATTATGAGCAGCCATTTGTCAGAAAATTATAATGAACGTGTGCTTCGCACGCACTTGAGCAGAGAGAAGACAAGGAGCACACAAACGACTTGAGGACCCAATAAACCCCCAGAGAATTGTTCTTTTCAGTAAGAAACTTTGAAAGAAAAGCGTTTCGGAAAGGACATTCTCATTAGAAGACTGATCTTGAACTCGCAGAGTCATCAAGGCGAGACCATATTACCTGGAGAATTCAGAAACTGACGGAGTGATTGATTCTTCTGATACTTGGACATTCTGCAATCTACGGAGAATAGTCGACTAGTTGATGCAGATGAAATCACTGATTTGCCATCATCGTTGTCGAAATCAAATTCATCTTCAAACGTGTCTTCATCATTTGTCATCATAAAATCCTTCAGAGTTGTTAAACTTGGAAAAGACGGTATGTAGGTTTCAGACGAGTCTTCATAATAAAGTTTCCTTTGTGATAACGAAGTTGGTCTTCCCATATCACTCATACATCCGGGTACCGCCTGCACATACATACTTTGTGACATCAACGAATTCAGCGGATCCGGATTTTTTCGGTGTACAAGTGGAGGGAGATGAGTGAGACTACCGTAACCAGAAGAGGATGTTGTGTGGCGGACCCGACGTGGAGTGCTCGAGTTGGAACGAGAGGAGTGTTCACTGCTTGTGCTGCTGAAGTATATTCGAGCACAGTCCTGGAAATAAGACTGTCAGAAAGCTGATTTTTCAAAAATAAAACTCACTTTGCTTGAGTACTTCCTCTGCCTCGGCGATTCTCCATCTCCACTATCAGAACTTCTATCCTTTGGTGATGAAGACGTCGAAGTTGTGGAAGTGAGTGCAGTTCCAAACTTTGGGTAGTTAGGCATTCCTTTCCTCTCCACAGATGATGTCCTTCCCAGTGTTGATCTTATGGCCTTTGATAATGTATCCCTCACAGATTCTCCTGTACTTCGCGTTCTTAGCATCAACCGTTCCCCCAGTGAGCCAGTAGACACACGTTCACCGCTCATTTTTGTTCAACTACAACAAGTCTGGAATGCGACTAGTAAGAAGAAGAAGTAAGTTCAAGACGGAGAAAAATGCATAAAACATGGGTTTTGAGAACTAGAGATGTTCTGCAGAAAGGAGCAACAAAAAACCAAAGCATGTATTGATACTTAGAGATGTTTTACACTAGTGACAGATATTGATGGAACAACTCACTTGACGGATTTCGTCGGGAAAATTTTCTCATCTAGCTGTACTGCCAGCTTGGAAGTAATGGGTTATGACTAAGAAAACACTTCTAACGGGATAGTCTTCTCGTTCGTATCGAGACGAGAATCATCGTAATCAAATTCAAAAAAAGGCGCGAAAGTCGGGCAGTTAGATAAAGTGGACAGGTGGCTGCGGCCTCATGAGAATAGGAAGATGATGTGAAAGAAAACTGAAGATGTGATGGAATGTGGGCACATTTTCAATGCATTCTATACAACTTTTCTTCGGCATTCATAACACGTTATGATGGGATATGTCAATGATATAAAACATCTGGTGGAGAAAAACTACAGAATAAAATTCGAGGATATAAAAGAGATAACCAATGGCTTCGTGTACAAAGTTGTAATTACAAGTTCTGGGGCTTGAAACTAAAGGGCAAAAACAAAATCAAAGAAGAGTAAAAAAAAGAGACAATAGAAACATTGAGACGAGGAAAGGTGAGATCTAGAGTTGGGAGACAGGAGGTCCGAGAGCACACCGAGGAGGAGCAGACGGCTCGACTGGACAATAGGCTGACAAGCTCTGATGAATGACCGCGACAGGAGATGAATCGAAAAATGACCAGCAGATATAAAAGAGATAGAGGTGGAGACGAGGAGGGAGATGTTCACTTCTACGACAAAAGTACACCAACACACACCTGACGGGTTGTTGGGTCCAGATGCAAATTAAATAGAAACATCCTGGATGTTTAATACGAGATTGTCTCGAAGAATTTGATAGCTTCACGCTCCTAACAACAACATATATTCCTGGTTAATGACTACAATACTGGGAAGATCATAAACCTATTCGTTCAAAATAAACAACCGAAATAAATGGTGACCTGCAATACATGTAGCGCTTCAATTTTGAGAGTATTCAATCGGGGGATTACGATACATACAACGAGTGGTCGCCTGCCTATTTTCCTCAAACCCCTCCTCATTATTATCATTTGTCAACACTCGGAGCTTCCCCGTTCTTACTAATCAAACAAACATCATGTAACTTTCTGAACAACATGCACTGTACTAATATATAACTCACAACCGTCGTTGTGGCCTTTTTGAAACTCAGATCGCCGTCTGTCCAGTGCTGTGAATGTACTATTGCCATCGAATGCGATGCTGTGACGTCTGAGAATGTACATGATTTAGGAAGAAAGAAAGCATACCCTACTTGGCTCGTAACGGACGAAGTGATCCGCCGAGAACTGAAGTCATCCGTCCTTTGAGCAGATTGTTCGTTGCAGATTTAGAGGCGCGAACACGGACGCTCTAAGAATTGTTGGAATATTTTCACAAGAAAAAAGAAAAAACTTACATCAATCCGGTGATTTTCGCCATGAGTAGATGACGAAGAGGATGATGCACTTGCAGATGATTCGTTCGCGTTGTAGACTCGTGCTTGCTGAATTTTGCGTTCAAAGTAATTGACGATTTGTTTGAGTTTATTGACTTTCATCGAGTCAGTTTGTTAGGAAATGTGGATTGCACTCAGATTTGAACTACTAACCTTCCGAACTTTAATAAGACGCGGTGTGTAATGACGATTCCGAGGTTCGAAAATTGTGTTCCGAGTGGCAGTTTCAGGGGGGAAGTATACATTCTTATCGGTTAGATTGTCTTCTGTTTCCTCTGGAATCGGCGATGGCGTTATAGTGTTAACACTCCGGCGACGAGCAGTGACACCTGAAAATATTGAGCTTGGAATCGATTTCATTAGAATTACGCACTAATTACGTCCTCATCGGTCTTCACTTCTCGGGTACCGAAATCTATCGGCGTTGCACGGTTCTGAAATGTTGCTGCGTCGTACGAGACATCAGAAATAACATTTTCCATCAAATGTGATGTATTGAGATGGGCTGGTCCCTGAAAAAGATTGACTTACAAAAAAAGTACAACATGTCGTAATCTTACTGGAATAGCAACACTCTGATTGAGAGATTCATCCATGTTATATTTTGAAGAAGATCCCGGAGATATCTGAATAGTTGATGAAGTGTTTTCTGACGGTCCGGCAGTTAGAGCAAGTTTGTGTTTTTCTTTTTTATTCATGCATGCTAATCCAAAAATGTGTTTTAGCATCCTGAAAGTGCATAAATTTTAATAAAGGTTGAAAAAAAACAGAGATGGGGAAGAAAAAAAGGCGATAACTCAATTTTGGGAGAAAACCGATGAAAGTATATTGAATGTTGCAAACGAGTAACAAAGTTGTGGGAAACAAGGAAAATATGCACGAAGAAAAGAAAAAAAATCGGTGAATCATGGGGAGCAACAACAGATTTCATTCTGACGAGTATTGAACTAGAAATACCGTAAAACCTCTAATAGAACGACACCCGGATCGTCCACTTTGAGCCTATATATCTCATTTCTTTTGAAAGATATCAAAAAGTAGTTAACTAGTAAAATGTTTATCAGGATATCAGCAACATTTTACTAGTTAGCCATTTTTTGATTTCTTTCACAGAAAATGAGATATATAGGTTCAAAGTGGACGATCCGGGTGTCGTTCTATTAGAGGTTTTACGATAGTTGAAATTACAATTTTTGAAAACAAAAAAAAACAGTTACAAGTAAAAACAATTGTACGAGGAACATTTTCACAGTAGGGGTCTCTTTGACTCTTGGGAAAGGCGGAGAGGTCAACTGTCAGGTGTTGCGCATGGTTTTTCTATGTTTGAATTACTTCGCAAGAAAAAATGTCCGGAGTTTCGAAAAAAAACAAGCGAGCCAAACCGTATAACTTTCAAAGGCGCACCCTAGAAGTGACAATGTCGCTGCGGGACCACCATTATTTTTCTAGCGTTGCGCCTATAAAACACATTACGGTTCTCGATCTGCAAGATTTGAAATCGGCAAAAGAAACGAAAGCGGGATAAACAGTTATCATTCGTTGTGAAAATAACTTCAAAGTATTAACACTTCATTTTCAGAGAAAAATTTTGTTAACAACTATTGTCGAATTAAGAAAAGTGACACCTGAGAATTTGAAAACTTTTGCTTTTTTTGATCTACGAAAAAGTGCGGCAAAAACGTAATATTTCAGAATTTCGGCTCGTTCGAGCTACTTTCGTGTTTAATTTTAGTTTTTTGCTTAAAAATAGATTCTAGAGATGCTAGCGATCATTTTTATATCAAGAAATCAAAATTTTGTTCAGAAAATCCCACTAAATTCCCATGAATAAATTTGTTATCTACAGTATCCGTTTTCGCTCCGCCCCTCGTAAATCGACACGAGCGCCGTCTCCGAGATTTTCAGGTGTCACTTTTTAAAAATCCGACAATAGATTAATTTTTTTGAAAAAATTTCAAACAGAAATAGATCATGAACGGATTCCTCGTTCCGTTTTGCCTGCAGTCACATAAACCCCTCGAAGATGCCAATGGGCTATTGGGAACTGAGAATGAAACGGGATTTGAGCTACACTCATACGAGTAGATGGACAGATTAATGGAAGACTTCTTGGATTGCTAGCTCCAGTTCTCTTGGACGTTTTGAGTAACACTGTAACGTGTTGGCTCTGATGATTGTGTAATTCCTGAAGATGTATACATTTGACAGTCAAAAATATAGTACTGTATTTACCCGGATTTCTCCTTGTATGAAATGAGCGGACTCTAATATACAGTGGGATAGTTTTAGCATTGGAACATCGGATTCAGATCCTATTTTGGGTAATTCGTAGTTGTCATTCACGAACTCTGCATTCATCATGACCTAAAGAATAGAATATATTCAATACTCCTAGAATATTAACCTCTGCGATTCCAATTTTGTATTTTAGACAGAACTGCATCTTCAAATATGATATCAATTCTGTAATATTCACGACTTTTCTCCCATCCAACTCTCTGTTTCCATTCTCTACATCAGCCATGAAGCTTCTTGTTCTTAACTTTCTGGTTATTTGGATCACTTTCGAATTTCACTTACTCATTATTTTTGATACAGTCTCCTGGTGTCTCCTGATTTTCGTCGAATAAAACTTTCATTTTCTGAACTACTTTCTTCTCCATAAGCAATCGAGATTCTCTTGAAATTCGAGCATTGTATCCACATAAAATACTTTCATCGTGTGATTGCATGAAATGAGAAAAATCTTCCTGGAAATTGATTAATTCTTTTTTGATTGTTATTTGTTCACCTACAAAATTGTGGTTATCTTCTCTGATGATGTTTTTCAAAAGGGTATCTGCTGGAATCGATAGATTAACTTCAACAATCCATTGAATCATTGAGCTTATTATGTTTTTCTCAACCGGACAATTCGTTTTTGGATAATAAATTGGTTCGATTACACAAGTTTTCACTTTCATCACATCTTGAATTTCATTTGGTTGATCACTTAGATTTCTCAGCTCTTGATAAAGTTTCATCATTGCCAAAAGGTCTGCATCATCTACCTTGAAACTGAGTTCGGGATTATATTTTCTTCTTAACTTGAGTCCATAATGGAAGCACATCAATCTTATAATTTGAATTCTTTGTTTTTCTTCTGATTTATCCAAAGAACTTCGAATTGAAAGATTTGCAAGAATCCGGCGAGTCTGTTGGAATAAATATGCGGAAGCAGAAAAATAGAAACGATGAGATGATAGTGCAATCATCTGAAGATTTTTGAGTTTTAGTTTTGGGATGTTTTCTAAATTTTACCTCTTCTGAACACTCTATCTCGTTTGAGTATCCAATAATTATTCTGAACGATGAATGCACAACTGGGAGGTTTTTCAGTTTATCGAGTACACTTTTCAGCTTTCTAACCGTAGTTTGACAACTCCTGTTGACGTTTAATAAGAGCCATATGGGTTCATCTACTAACTTTTCCAGTCTCCTAAAAGACTATGAAATTCAAAATAAAGTTTACAAGACTTACAACAGAACATGATCCAGAATTGAGAAACATCTCCAGTTAGCATTTCTGGTAACTTGTCCAAATTGAAGAATCGTAGTATAAACTTCCGCATCATACTTCATTAGAATTAGCTGTTTTGGTTCAGACTTCAAAATGAATGCGGAGAAATTGAAGAAACTATCCATAGTAATTCGATTCTTCATTTCCATTTCCAGTACTTGATAGCTGAAAAAAATATACTTCATTCATTCCTAGATTTACAATTTCACTTCATCTTATGGAATAGAAGATGGTGAACAATCATTTTATCATCACACGCCAGCATATGACACAGAAAGTTCCAGTAGAGATCCGAAATTTGGTGATTGATTTTATCATGGTTGATGTCGGAAATATTATCGAAAAGTTTCTAAAATGAGTATCACAACTTTAAAAAACGACAGAATCTGAACTCTTACGGTTTCCAGGACATTCACCAAATCAGATAAAGAAATTCTGTAGAATGGATCCAGAAGATGTAACGTGTAGCTCATTTTAATAACTTTCATAGAATAATCGATGCATTGAGACATTTTACTTTCAATTGAACGCAAAGATGTTTCAATCTGGAATAGAATAGTACAGAACAAAGCCTATTCCCATATAGATACCTCTGCGATTTCCTTGTTCCTCGCTACAATCGACGATTGCAGATTTCTAGCTTCTGCTAATAAATCGATTGCTCTCTCATCATCCAAGTCTTTTGATCTCCCCAACAAATCCAACATTTCGTTTTCAGTTTCTGAAAATATTCAAATGGAATCCACGTAACAAAATCACTTACTCTCCATCATTGCGATATCGTTATTTCTGGATTCAACCATTTCGTTATAATGGTTCAATGTTTCGGCCCAATTTGCTGATCCCATCATTTCACAGATATCATGCCTCAACTCTCCGTCACTAAACTGATTGTCAATTATGACAGACTTTTTCAAATTGAGATTATTGGCTCCTCTTGTTCTAAAGAACACTCTGAAGTTTTTGTTAACTTCATGCTGATGGTTTCCAATTTTGATAACCTGAAACAAAGAATCTATTGAAATCATTGCTAATCAACCCACGATTTCTTCCTCCATCTGACTGTAATATTCTGCATTATCGATTTCTTCCGCCGCTTTCAAATTTTCTTGATTAATTTCAAAAAGCAAAACTGAATTCGAAGCTAGACACTGCTGGCGTTCAGCTTCTGACCATTGATTCGAGACAACTACTTTTTCGAATTTTGATTCTAAGAATTCCAAAGCTCGGCTATCATCGTTAATGAAACAGATTGGATCATCAACCAGCATAACCAAGGTTTTCAAGTCACAAGCGATTGTTATTTCCAATTTTGGGAACAAGCTTCTCATGGTCTTTCGAAGCTCTTTCTGGAATAATTAGACAATTTTTTGTCAAATTTCAAATCAGGAAATCACTTCTCTCTGATCAATTGGCAACTTCCCAAAAATATGCAACGCTAGAGCAGATCCAACAGAATACGGTACACTCAATGAATCTTCGTGAGTGACATCCGTTATTTTACTTTTCCATTTGTCTTTCTCTCCACTCAACGCTTGAACAAGTCTTTCGGCTCTTTCCATTCGAACCTCACAACTGGAAATTTGGGATTCCAGTTCCTGTTTCTTTTGACACATCTGACTGAATTGATCTGATAATCCTTGCAATTTTTCTGTTACTTTCTGAAAAGGTCCGAACATTTTTTGTCAGTTCACAATCTAACTTACCAGCAAAGCTTTTCTCTTCACTTCTAATTGTTTTAAATGCTGCTTCACCAAAACTTCCGCTTTTCTCAATCTCTCCCGTTTTGGCTCTACGATCTTACTGATTTGATTATACATATCAATTGCCAGAACCCATCTGCACAGACCCTCGGCTGCTAATGAACACTGTTTGACCTTGTCTGGATCGAATTCTTCTTTTGATAAATATTTATCTCTTATCAATTTCATCGTTTTTTTGCTCATCGAATCTCTTGCAAAACTTCGAATTTTGGCCAGAAAATGAATATCCGACAGGAGTTTTTGACCGGATACCCAGTAATCATTTACAACTTCTCCGATTTCATTTGTTATTTTGGCTGGTTTCACTCCAAGAAGAATACAAACTGCTTCCATACAAAGACGTACTGCATATGGGGGAAATCTCATAGTTTTTAGAGAAGATACATCACTTTGGGTCATTGTTTCAAGTGCTTCAACTGCTGATTCTAATGCTGGAATGGCGGATGTCAACTCTGCCTCTGATTCGGCCTGGAAAAAGAATTCGATTAAGAAAATAAAAAATATTTCCTCACCTTCAAAGATTGAGCTTTGGTAGCAGCTTCATTTGACTTGTTCTCGTTGGCAGCCACTACTTCTCTAGCGTTCTCAACATCAATTGTTTCTTTTTCGATTGTACTCATCAACATACTGAAATTGGATTTTAAACTAGATAATCATAATTTTCAAGTACCTCGTCTCAATTGAAGTCCTCACCAACTGTGGTTGCAATCTCAACAATTCACCCTGCATTCCAGCCACTTGCTCTTCGGCTCTCTTCATTTTTTCCATTCCTTTTTCATATTTTGTCATGGTTTTCCTAACTTCTTCTTTCTTTTTCTTCGCTAACTTTGTAATTGTTGAGATCATTTTTAATTTTTCAGCTCTGGTATTCAATATCTTCATCGAAATCAACTCATCTATGACTTTCATTAGCTGCTCTGTTTGTTGTTTTGAAAACAGCCCAGAATTATGTAGCTCGTCGAGAATCTCCTGTTCCTGCTCTTTTCTAGAAGGATCTCCCCACCAGACTAGAATCATCATGGATAAAAGCATTCGATGGCAATTCATAAACCAAGAAAAATCAGAAGATTTCAGTATTAGAGACACTTTTAAAGCGGACAGTTTCGTCTCCAGCATCTCCCATATTCCTTTGCCTTCCAGAGTATGTTTCTCTCCAAATTCTGACAGCATCAATCGTGAGAGATATCTTGGAGGAATCAATTTATAACCGCAAATACATTTCATATCTACTAAAATAGTTTCAGCAATTTCCTCATCTGGAGATACAGTCAATCCAAGAACGGTTTCTTTTCCATCGATTAGAGAATCTCTTAATACTCGATTCATCAAATCTCCCCATTCTTCTTTCGTCTTGATTCCTTGATTTGTGTACAACATATGTCGACTAAGTTCCGTGGATACCATTAGAGCTTCCAAAGCCTTTGAAGTATCATTTCCCACAACCACAACATGTCCGTAGTTGGTTTGGTTTACCTTCTCAATGATATTGATGTTTTCAGCATCTGTGGGTGACAGAATAACGTTATCACATCTTATTCTTTTGTTCCTTTCTACCAATTCTTTCGTTGCGCTGAAAAAAACTTATTGGAAGGGGGAAAAAAAAAATTAAAACTCGTACTTCAAATAAATCGAACAGAGCTCTCCAACTTCGATATACGTCTTTCCTCGAACCAAATCGTATCTTTCCGATGTTTTCAACTCGAAAACCTTCTCATAGAGACTTAGAATTCTGGCATCCAACATAGCACCAATTAAATTGTTTTGAATCGAATCGCTGATTTCTTTGATCTTGATGTCCTTCGTTATGTTTTTCAGAACTGATGAATAGTTGGACAGTGGGAAAAGTGTTAAGGATTGTTCCCCAGTTATGTCCATCCAGTTGATTGGAAACAAGAATCTTTGAATTCGTTTGTGAAACGTTTCAACGGAGTAAGAAGTCACAAACAACGTTTTCTGTAGTTTATGAGAATTAAAAATACTGTGAAATCCTGTAATAGAGTGGTCCAATAACTTTTAATTTTGAGGCACTGATCCTGTCAAAAATATGACGAAGTTGTCAACTGATCAAAGTTTATCATAATATCAAAAACATTTTATCACTTGAAATTTTTTGGATATCTTGCATAGGAGCCAAGAAAAATTACCTCGAACTTGTCAGTGTGGGGGCCCTTCTATTACAGGTTTTACGGTAAATGAATATTAGGCCAAATCTCACCATAATGTGTTTTCTCTCATATTGATGTCTCAGCCAGTCTATCACTTCTGAAGGTGCATTTTCAATCCCTCGAATTAAGAAGAAATTGGATCCTTCCTGAGGATCATCGAAATCTTTTTCCTGATGCTGATGGCCACCACTAAATATTAAAAAAAATCGATTTAACGAAATTTATAAATTCAATCTTACAACATGATTGCACAGTTATCAACGAATTGTTTGATTTCTTCAATCGTTACTTTCTCATCAATACACATTGTAATCGTGTGCCATCCGAGAGCATCAAGTTCAGCTTGTAGACGAGACAAAAATTCGTAAAACTCCTGACTGGGAGGGCAAATCAGAAGAGGAATGAATTCAGAATAGAGTATCATACTGATGGAGTGAATTAGATAAAAATGAGATGGAGAAATGTCCATGCCTTCTTTGTAAGTATACCATCCATCCGAGTAAGGTACATTACTGTAGAATTCTAGAAGTTTCTCGTTCTTAAAATCAGAATTGGAGTTAGAAGAACCACAACTAATTTCTTACCGATTTGAAAAAGAAACTCATCAACTGTGTAGCTGGCACGAAAGTTAGCAACGACATTATGAGAATGTGCTCAAATACTTTTTCACTGTTTGTAATTATCTGTTTTCTGGAAAGAAGAGAAAATTAAATGAGTCTCTAACTGATTTCTAACTTCAATCCCTCGATTTTCCTGATCAATTCAAGTTTTCGGTACTTGAATTCTGAATAATAATTTAGAACATCATCTAGTCTTTGTTGTTCCGTCTGATCTAGCATCGTTTCTTTGATAAACGCATCATTGTTATTGAGGAAAACTAAAGGTAGAGATTTCAAGTCATCTGTTAAACAGTCCGTTTCAATTATGACTCGTTCGCTAGAGGCAATAATTGGAAGTTCTCGCCATGGAAACAACTGAAAATTCGCGGATTTATAGCTTGCGATTCTAACGAAATTACCGTATTCTCATTCATGAGTCTGTGTATCCACTGTCTGGTTTTGGAACTCATGAAACCGTCTATTACAATCCATTTGTTGGGTCGTCTCATATTTTTCAACTGAAGTTATTTTAGTTTTAAGTGTATTCTTCCATGAACTTACAGACTCTCCAAATGGTTTAATATCTTCCCATAGACCAAATTGTACTTCTAAATCTGCTGATTTCAATTTCGCCGCCTTCGCAATTACTCTTGATTTCCCAGTTTGACTACCACCATAAACCACAACAACCTGATGATTTTGTAGTAGATTAACAAGATCTTCAATCTTTTCTCTTATTGGTAATGGATCGGTGTCCAGCATTTTTCGTGGTACATCCGAACTTTTTGGCGTTTTTGCTGGGGTTGGCGATTTTTTGGGCTTTGGATTGAGCGAGATATTCAGAAGACTTTCAAGAAGTTTCTTGTTCTGAAAAGACATGTTCTTAGATACTGTTGATTTCCTTAGAAAACCTTTTTGTTCAAAGAAATACTCAAGCAACGGAAAATGGAATTTTCGATTACTTGTTCTTGTTCTAGATCTTCGTTCTCCAAAATTTTTGTAATCATTGATTCTGTGTAGTTCCTCCACAGATTCTCTGCTCTTGTGTAGCTTTCCAATTCGGTTATAACTTGGAACTTTTGAACTTTTTTCTCTCGATGAGCAATGCTATTCAAAGAAAGAATCTCATCAATCAGTTTCAGATAGGAATTGGATCCCAACTGTAGTCTTCTTGCGGTTTGCAAAGCTTGAGATGATCTGAATTTTAGATTTTTACAATGTAGAATTTCGATAAAACTGACAATAAAAAAATAAAAGATGCATTCAGCGTGATTTCGGATTCGAAATGGTACTTCAGATTCAATAGACAGTGGCTGCTATAAACATCTTTCTCTGTAGATTTTCCAAGATCTTCACAACTGTTTTCTTCTATGAAAACGGTTCCACCAAACAAAAGAGACCCTTCGATGAGCATTTTACAATCCATTTCCTGATCTGTATCACAAATTGCAAATGGTTTTCCAAGTGCTCCGGATATTTGACGAGCCGAATTGGCATCAATACCATGGACTTTCCCATTGAATCCAAAATGATTCATATATATGAAATGTCTGCAAAAATCCAAATAGTTTCCATTAATTTAGTTATACTAACTTGACTGATTCATCGATCAATCTGTTGTCAACCATATAATCGATTCCTTGAACCTCATAATCATATCTAGTGGAAACTGTACCAACACGAATGAAGACATTTTCCATGTGCCAATAATATCGCAGCTGGGAAATCCATCGATAATCATCAATGAAAATAACTTGCTCATTTATAAACTTGTTTACCAGATGGTTAGCTGGAAGAAAAAGAGATTGCAGAGATCTTCTGTTATAAACACACCTGACTTGTAGATGTGATATAAAACCGGCAGAAACTCTTTCCTATTTTGTTTATGTATGATGGCGTGTTGACAGTCTCGAATACATATTTTCAGCTCACTTCCGAGAATCTGAAACCTTGAAGTCCGCGTCCAGTATTTTCATTTTTCTTACGGTCATTGAGTTTTGTTTCATGCTATTCTCCATCTGCCAAGTGAATGCGATTTTCAGATAAACGGAGGCAACCTGAATAGGTTCACTCAGAATAGATTCTACTGGGCTCAATTTGTAGTTCATCTTTTCGATCAGCAGCCTGATGCGGGTTCTAAGAGTGTATTTTATCTGAGCATCTAATTCATGCATCCATTTCTCCACGTGTCTTTTTGAAAGATTCACATTCACAGGTTTGACAAGAGAAATGGTTTCATGTTTCGTTGAAACTGATACTATCTCCATTTTGGTATTCTGATCGAATGTAACCAGAGATGGAAACAGAAGAGGGATGTAGGATTTGCAATTCGCTGGCTCCCGACTATCACAAATCAATGAGAGAACAAGCTCATCGGAAAGTGAGAAGAGCCGTGGGAACACTGCTCTTTTCTTTCGGAGATATGCATGAAATCCATTCTCCATACGTCCGAAAAGGACTTCCAACTCGGAAAGATCAATATTCAATTGTTGAACCAGATCCATTTGCTCAAGAATCGGACGTTCTTCTGTCTGAAAACATTTGAAATTCTAATCGAAAATGCTTCCGAAGCACTCACAATCTGATTATTGATATGAAGCCATCGCAAGGATATTTTCTTGAATGTTCTGAATTCATGTGGCATCTGGTATGCAATATCTTCTGTTGAGAAAACTCCTTCAATCTTTTTCCATCTGAGATCACATCTCTTGTACAAATGAACAAAATTATTGAGATTGAGAAGAGTATCCAACCAATGTCGAATATGATCCAGGATTGAAAATGCATGTGGAGAAGATAGAATCGTTTGACTTCTTGCTAAATGAGCCTGCATCTGAACATTCAATTCAGTCGTCAGAAGTTCTCCTCCTTGATGAGTCATGAATGTAGCTGACTTCCATTGACTTCTCATTTTGTCTATCGATGTTTCCAGAACCCTTTCTTTTTCAGCTTGAGCTCCGACCTAAACTTTCAAAACTCTTAGAATGCATTAAAGAAACAGTACCTGCTCAAATTTGTCAGCTTTCTCAATAAAATTCATTTCGAGTAGTTCACTGACAAGAGGATTTCCTTCCACTTTGACACTTGTTTCAGAGTCTTGAAGTATCATTTTCCAGTGTCTATCTTTCATTGCTTGACATGATATTGCTCCGAGAACCGGAAGCAGTTTTTCGAATTCCACGAGAACATTCTGGATTTTCAGCAATGCCTCTTTGGAAGTCGTCGCATGTTCCTGAAAATGAATATGAGTCCGGTCTGAAAGAGTTTCAGAATACATTAATGGCGGTTGCTGCTTCCATGAGATTGTCTTTTTCAGATTGAAGACGTTCAGTTTCCGCTACCAAAAAGTTATGATCCACATCTGATATTCTCACTGAAACAGTTTTTATTTGAAACTATTTCAAGTTAGTTTATTTTACTTCTCAAGCAAGATTCGTGATGCAGAAGTGTTTTGAAATGTAGGGTTGATAGTTTCGAGAAGAATGCGCAAACTTTTGCGATTCTTATGCAATCTATCGGCGAGGAAGGAAGTCCGAGTAGAGACCGTTGGCCAATTAGTTTCTGAACAAATATTCTATATTGAAAATGATAGTTTCGTTTACCTCATCTTTTCCTTTTAAAATTGCACTTCTCTCTTCGAGATTTCCCATTTTGATCTGTACTTTCTGAACCTCGTTGATCCGAACTGCACTTCTGTACTTCTTCAAACAGTCCAACCACTCTTTCTCAATCATTTCACATTCATAATAATTTTTGGAGGTTTGATCCGAAACTTGTTTTGTAATCCATTGTCGTTCATGATTGATACGATCCCAGACAAAGTTTACAAGTTGATCCAATTTGAATCCAAGTCGCGAAATTTCATAAAACTGCCTAATATCTAATCGGGAATTGTGAAATATTCCATATAAACTTTGTATGCTTTTCCAACGCATTGAATTTTTACCTTGATATTCGGAAGCTCATTCTGAACCTCTTCAATATTTCGAAGCTGTACAAGAACATCATTTCGAAACAGTTTTCCTGAGCATAAAGTGAATAACTCGCGAATTTTTGTATTCTTCACAATAAGCCTTGTCAAAATAATATGTTTTAGTCTTTCCTCCGATTCGGTGATCTTTGCTAAAGATCTCTTTTTGATATCTCGACTGTCGTAAATGGTGAATCCTTTCAAAACTCGTGTTCCTTGCTTCAAAACCTGTTCTCTTATATCTAGAATTTCTTTCGCTATTCTCTCCCAGAACGCAACGTCATCTGGATCTTTCGAGAACGAAACAAGCATTTCCTGTACCTCCGAAATTCTGGAGTTGAGTAGCTCGAAAGGTTGCGGAAGTGGTTTGAACACGATGCTCTCTGAATCGAACCAATTTCTGACGTCAATCCATGCTTCAGTGAACATTCTCGGATAGATTTTATGGTCGACTCGAGGTACTAAAAGTTGAATTAGGAATTTATTGGGATTAAAAAAAACTTACTTTTACATAAATCGAGAAGAATGTTGATTCTCTGCCAATAATCAAATTCTTTCTCATCTTCATTCAGAATTATTATCAACTTTGCTCTATCATCAATATCGAAAAATGTTTTGATACGAGTTATGTTCTCCAAAACAACATCATACAGTAATCTGGCCATTGTAGCTGCGACTGCATTGAATACGGTATGTGATTGAGCAGTGACAAACAATGGTATCCACGAAGCACCTTCATCCAACATCAAATTTGCCACTGCCATTGGCCACTCGAAAGAAAGGATTTTCTTGGTATAAACCACAAAATCTTTGAGTTGTTTCTCCAGTTCCGGCACACTTCTTCCATTCTCACTCAACAAAAATGAGCAATCAATCAGACATCTGTCTCTATATTTTTTGAAAAACATTGTTATTATTTTGTTGTTCAGTCGCAGCTGATTGCAGATTTTTTCAGTATTCTGAGCCATTGTATGCCTCCAGGGAGCTCGTCCAATACATGGAATTCTGAATCAAAATTGGTTGTTGAATACGATTGGCAAAGATTCGATACCTGACATTATCTCCTTTCAGATAAGCATTCGCTGCATCTCGGGTCCAATCCTTCCAATTTGTGCTCAATTCTCTTATTGTAGTTTCTAATCCTCCTTCTTTCAGTTTTTCAGAAAGACTCTCAATTTGGCCCTTCCAAGCAGGAAACGAGGGAAGGCATTCTTCATGAAGAACGTCTTCAGTTTTAAAATCAGTATGAGTCGTTTTGATTCTATAATTGAGTAACTTATTGGCATTAAACATATAAAACCTACTTTTTTCTAATCGATGACGCTTCTCTAGGTCTCTTGATTTTTTTTCCATCAATCTCGATTCCTCTATGAAAGGTTAGTCTTCCATTTTGCTTCCGGATTCGTTTACCTTGATTGTTATGGTGGACAAGTTTTCGATTACTGTAGTCAAGGTCTCGAGGAATGTCTCGACAGGTCAATCCATGACACTTAGGATGATAGATATTTCCAAATCCGATTTCGTACATTTCAAATAGGAGAAAGGTGAAGTATTTGGAATGAGAAGCGAGGGTAGGAAACTTATGAAACGGCAGTGGTGAAGTGAAGTGTGAAGTTGAATATCCGATTGGATGGCTCTCCGAGAGAAGGAACTTACGTTCACAAATTTTAATGGGTTTTCAGGTAATTAAAATTAGAATTCGTAGAGTTTAAAAAATTGAGTGAATGTTCGCTCACATTCAGAATTTTCACTCGCTATCAGTATTTTTGTTTCTAAATGACGATGTCATTGAGAATGAACAAGCCAGGTTGTGAAAAACCGAAATTAGTGCTTGAAAAAATATATAATTTCCTTTGATTTCACTTATATTTTTCCCCAGTGTCATTTCTTTCGATAAAATTGACTTTTCTGGATTTGTAATTCAAAGAGGACAACAATAAAAATCAGCAGTTGAACTATCGAAATTGTCCAAATAATATATTGTCAACTGATAAACTGATAATCATAATATCAGAAGCATTTTGTCAGTTGTTACATTTTTGATATCTTGCATAGGGATTGAGATAACCGAGCTCAAATTTGAGGGTGTCGGAGCCCTTCTATTAAAGGTTTTACGGAAGTCTATCTTTTGTTCCGAGCAACATAACAAGGGAGCCTGTTTTTCAAAATGCATCAAAATATTTCTGCTGCTCATTTGAACATTTATACATATAAAAAACAACGAAAAGCCCCGGAAAAAACTCCTGTATACAAAGGTTTCTAGAATCTTTGAGATCCTCATTAGACTTGTTTCCGATTTCTTCGTGTACTTTCAAACATCCCTAGATTTTTAAAGAGTTTTGTGAAATTAGAATCTTTTAGAATCCCCTAGAATCCCCTAGAACCTCCTTGAATCCCCTAGAATCCCCTAGAACCTCCTTGAATCCCCTAGAATCCCCTAGAACCTCCTTGAATCCCCTAGAATCCCCTAGAACCTCCTTGAATCCCCTAGAATCCCATAGAATCTTTTAGAAATACATTCTCTAGGTTTTAGTTGATTTTATAAGAATTCATTTTAAACTTTCTGGATTCATGATTCTTATCTAGGGCCCCGTCGGCTATGGTATACTAGAATTCCTTGCAAGTTTCAGTATGCCAATGGTTTAGCTGGTTCTAGAGGTTCATGAAGGTTAGAATGTGTGTTTTGAGTTCTCCTAGAATCTCCTAGAATGCCCTAGAACCCACTAGAATCCCCTAGAATCCCATAGAATCTTTTAGAAATTCTCTAGGTTTTAGTTGATTTAATGAGAAATCATTTGCCACTTTCTGGATTAACTATATTCTCTGCAATATTGGAAAAACAACGTCGATGATGACGATTTTCTTTCGCCTTGAATATGTACATTTTTACAGTAAACTTTTCAGACTCAACAAAGTCGTTAAAATTTTATGATTTCAGATTGTTCTGAATTGTTTATAACAAAAATGTTCTGGTTATTTTCCCCAATTTTTCGAACTTTGTTAACTAGTGTCTTGTTAAATCTTATGTTCACACTTTTGTGATATTTTTGTAAAGAATTTTTTGAGAGACCTGAATAAACTTCTTCGAGATACTTTCTTAACTTTGAGGTCAGAAAACAATTTCAAGGTTCTCCGATTGTTGCGAAGATTCCTGACTGTATGAAACTTATGTTTTTTCAATGTGAGATCTTGAAAATCTTTAATGTTAATACAGAAGGAGAAAGAATAAATTTATTTTCCCTGATGGAATTTCTCTAAAGATTTTTCTACAAACCGGAAGCTTAATTTTGAGACTATAACTAATTTTTCGAAGGAACTCAAACTATCGTTTTCAGCTAATGTTCAAAAAATTAAAGTAATATCTTTACATTCAGATTAACCCATTCGTCATCATAAAGTCTGTTTAGTGCACATCATTTGCTTGTAATTTGCTGATAAGAACAATTTTCTTTAATTTTTCAAGATAAGAGTGACACATAATCTTCATTTCAGTGGGCGTACACACAATATTTAAAACATCGCAAAAGTAATCATTTCCGACAGTTCAACATGTGGCTTTCCTTTGCTCTTCTTCTATCTTTTCTAGTTTTTACAGTGTCAGCAGACACTTGTCCATATGGATTCACACTTTTAACCACGAACAAGTGTGTGAAACTCATAACAGATGGAGCTAAACATGCCGATGCTTCTGCCAATTGCAGTGCTTACGGAGGTCATTTGATTTCTATTCATAGTGCAATTGATAACAACGCATATCGGAATTTGGCATCTATTTCAACTACACCATATTGGCTAGGACTCAAATGTTCCCTGTCTGGAAGTCCTCAATCATGTTTGTGGGATGATCAAAGTGGAAATTCCGGTCAATATAATGGATTTGCAAATGGTTCGTTTTCAATCCGGACGACACATTTATGCTATTTTTTGTTTAGGATACCCACTCGTTGAAGTTGGAAGTTGTGTTTATTCCCCAACTCAGGGTACATTCGCTGGAAAATGGCTCAGTGGAGATTGCAACACAATGAATCTCAACTTCATCTGTGAAGCTTCAGCCAACACACCTGTCACCGATACTTGCTCTTTCCAATTCAACGGAAACTGTTATTTCCCAACTTTGTCTTCTCTCTCTGAGCAAGAAGCTCAATTTGCTTGTCAGCAAGAATGTGCAAATCTCGCTTCAATTCACTCGTTAGATGAGAATACCTACATTCAGACGCTGTTCACAACCAATGCGCCCACCTACATCAGAATCGGAGCTCAAACAAACAACCAGAATGTGAATTCTTGGGTTGATGGAACCACTTGGAATTATGCTAATATTGGATACCAAAACTCTAATCTTGGTACTTGCATGAGTATGTCTCTAACTAATGACATTGTTAGTGCTGGAAAATGGATCAGCAGTAAATGTGATACATCTGTTCCATTTGTCTGTAAAAGGCCAATTGGTGTACAATGTCAGTCAACAGCTGGACCAACCTTGACACCAGGACAGTGCAACGGCCCACAGTTCTTTGATAATTCCGGAACAGTAAGTTTGTTATTGATAATGCTTAAAATAAAAATATTTGTTGCAGTTTTATTCTCCCAGCTGGCCATACAGCTACATTGGTCAACAAAATCCATGCAGTTATGTTCTTGACACTCCAGTTGGCTCATTCGCTCAAGTTCAATTCCCATCGATGAATCTGGATAACCAAGCTTCGATTGCAATTTACAGCAGAATTGAGGATACAACTCCCATTGCTGTGCTAGAAGGAAATTCAGCTAGTAATCAATGGTACACATCTACAACCAACACAATGAAAGTGGTATTCCGCCCATGTGTCTCCAATTGTCCAACCGATGGAGGAGTCTATAGATGGCAAGCAAATTTCAAACCCTCGAATGATGTGACTCAAGCCCCTCCAGTTACTGTCACACCAAACCCAAACAACCCATCTGGATGCAATTCAACTATTTTGGTTACCCCAGGATACATCACTTCACCAAATTATCCACAATTGTACCCCAACTTTTTGGAGTGCCTCTACCATTTGTCTACCAGTGGTGGATACCGAATCAATCTTGATTTTGGAGCTATTGATACTGAACAGTGTTGTGATAATATTGTAGTTCGTGATGGACCGCTTCTTGGAAGTCAGGTGCTCGGAATCGTCAGTGGAAGTTGGCCAGCACACTCCAAAATTTATAAGTCTACGTCGAATTCAATGCTTGTTTCATTCACGACAGATGCTTCTGGACAAGGAACAGGATTCAGTGGTACATTCACTGCTTATTGATTTATTGGTTTTGGATAATCATTTTTCATTTTACTTGTGTTTAACGGATCATTGTTAGTTGCCGGTAATAAATATGAATAATTGAAGATGTTTGTTTCTTGTTCTGTTTCATAAATTTTTGGTTTTCAACCTACGAGTGATAATTGTCGCATAATAAACCAACATTTCTGCACCTGTTTAAAAAATTTATTGAAATTAAAATCAATTTATTGTTAGCTCGATGACCCATCTTATTACATTTGCCGTGGTCTTGATTGCCTCCGTTTCTCTTTTGAAAGCGGCATGTCCAGAAGGATTCGATGTGATCAACTCTAAATGCATTACTGTGAGTTTTTTGATTGCTTTCTACTTATTTTCCGTGTAACATAAGAATTTCAGATAACCAGTAAACGATTCACACACCACAAAGCTCTTTTGGAGTGTAACGGGAGAAACGCTCACTTGGTTACCATCCAAAATGCAATTGTAGGTTTTTTTTAATGTTCGCCGACAACTTTTGGTCGGGGTTGGTCCGGATAACACTGCTTCTGAAGCCGACCAAACTCTGAAAAACTTATGACAAAGTTCCAATCTAGTAGGATTCAAACTTTCAACTTCCAAACTAAATCTGACCATGGCCCGCTATACAGCCGTTTTTGTTCAACTTCTGATCAAAACCTGGCCATTATCCGTCCAAAAGCCAGACAACCGAGATAGTGTTTTATTTCAGGACAACAACGCAATTCTCCAATACGCCTCAAATATAACATCTCCAATGTGGATCGGAGCAAACTGTAAATTCAATAAGCAGCCTAAGAAGTGCACCTGGGATGATGGATCTTCTTTAGATTATAGTAACTTCCTACCAGGTAATTTTTTCTGATTGTAAACAATAGTCTGAATTTGGTTTCTTTTCAGGTTATCCAGTTACAAACATTGGAACATGTGTCTACATTGACTCTGACAATCAACCACTGAAAGGAAGATGGATCAGTGCAACATGTGAACTTGACGAATATCATGCCATCTGTGAATCTAACTAATAGATTGAAAGTTAATGTTTGAATAAGACTATTTATCTAAAAACTAATTTTCATAAATACCTAACCTAAATAGTTTCTTAATTAAAACTAATTGGATAAATCGAATACGTGACAAAGAGAACACGAGAAAGAAGAAAGCCGAAATGACCTGAATATCTTCAAGAAGAAAGGATAAAACTGTCTTCTGCGTCTCCTTTTTATCCTATTTTTTCCCGTTTACACTCTGCTTCTAAATGGACTAATTCGACCATTTGCGGTTTCAATCATTTGAAGCCGTGGAAAAAATTATTTTATCGGAGAAGAAGATGTTCGTTTTTGCCTTATTTTCTTTGTTTGGTGAGTTGTTATGGAACCTTAAAAACATACCGTAAACTTTGTAATAGAAGGACCTCCCAACTTTCAACTTTGATCCAATTTATCTCGGTTTCTTTGAAAGATATCAAAAATGGTAAACTTATCATTTTCTTATCATAATCTCGAAAAACATTTTTTTCAGTTAACACATTTTTGCATAGGAACCAAGAAAAATAAACTCAAACTTGACAGTGTGGGGCCCTTTTATTACAGGGTTTCAAAGTATCAGAAAAAACAGAATATGTTCTTACATTTTTCTGACTGGTAAATTTCTACTACCGATATAAAGCTGAAAAGCAAATTATTCGATTTTTCCAAATATTTTTTCCATTCAAAATATTTTTCAGTTCTCTCTGTTTCGGCCGAAAAAGACCCAAATGCTCCAAGCGAATGCCTCTCCAAATGCTTAACTCCACTTGCCAAACTCCAAAGAAGCTTCTCCTTTGTTTTCAACAACTTTGAAAAAGTTTGTGACCTACTCGAAGATGGAGCTTTCTGCGCAAGAAAATGCAATCAGGAAGACCAAACAAAGTTCTATCAGTACACAACATTCTATCGAATTCATTGCATTGACTATGAAGAAGGTTTGTTGTTCTTCTTTCATTGTTTTGCTAGTAGCAATTATTTTTTAGACATCCAAGAACATTTGACATGCATTGCAAAGGCTGCCGCTGATGCTGATTTGGTGTGCAAAGATAAATGCAAACAAGCCCATAAGGTTGAAAAAACAGCAGATAAGAAAACTAAAATGAAGAAGGAATGTCTCACTTTGGAGTGTTCTACACTTTGCTACTTCGACGAACTTGCGGAAAGTTGTCCAGAAGCTAGAAATATCTTATTGGTTAGAATACGTTCTAGACGAAATTACATCTGAGACATCCTGAATTTCAGAAAATAAACATTGGGCAAGTGCATTCGATGGCCTCTGGAGTTCATCCAATTACGATGGAGAAGATGCTTCCAGAATGTCGCAATCTTCACAACACAGAATATATGCGTGCCAAGCTGATGGCTTCCAGCAGTTCTCTTCTCATGGACCATACCCCTTTGGAGATGGAAACGGAAGAACGACCAGTTATCACCGCTTGAAAAATTATGCACGAATTTTTGGAAATTTACGGGAGAAAGTTAACAATTAGAACGAAATAAAATTTGAACTAAATAAAAGCACTGATCATCTTATCCGTTTAGAAATTTGAATCGTTTCGGAATATACCCGTGGCATCTAGTTTGATAAAATGTTCAGTCTACTAGAATAGACTTGTGGCCTCTCTCTCTCTTATTGTTAGATGATTTTTTTCAGAACAGAGTTCTGTCGGTCTCTAAAAATCGTAATATATTCAGTATTTTCCAGCAGTCCGTTTTTTTCCAGCATTCATGTTAATTTCTAATTTTCAGAACAGAATTCCGAAACTTCCGACGCTTTTTTTCGGAATATTTTTGACTACGGTAGTCAAAGGCGCATGCAAAAAGTTATGATGCGGGCTTCGAGCGGGATCACTTTTAATTTTTGTGTTTTCGAAATCAGTGTAACATTTTCACCATTTTTTTCGCGTTTTTTAAAAATATTTTTTGATCAAACAGACAAACAATCCAAAAACACAAAAATAATGAAGAAAATTGTAATGAGAGCTCAAAATTTGGCTCAAAATGACAAAATTTTTGCTACCGGGCCTTCCGGGCCGGGCCCGGGCCTTGAAAATTTCCTCAGGCCCGGCCCGGGCCCGGAATTTTACAAGTATGGTTTTCCCCCGACCTGTTATCGTTGAGCGGAAATGATCGGTCAGTGTACGATCGGCCGACCATTCATTTCACATTCATCTGTCTGCACTTTCCCTTATTCTCTCTTGTCTCCTCATTCCCTCCCTTGTAGTGGAAAGATAACATTTTAAAGATTCGTCATTCTTATCTCTATTCAAATTTGAAACTCGCGCAGAGAAGTGACTGCTTCCAATTTTCGGTAAAACTCAGTGCTGATGAATTTGTGTTTGCTTCAAATAAACAGCGGGTACAGACTGACTCCCTCTTTTATTTTAGGCCAGCTTCACATGTTTTCTCTTTCATTTTAATTCTCCTTCTGTTTACTCTTTTTGTTTCTTCAGAGAAATATAATCAGAGCTTTTTGGCAGCAAAAGAAACTTTCAAAGTCCCCAGTAAATACAGTAATACCTATCGTATAAGGACATTGAATTGGATATTCATCCAACTTTTGATTTCTTGACATCATCGATACTTTTCGGCCAGGTTACGAATTTGATTCCAAGACCAAAATGATGTCAGCCTCCCTATAAAAATTTCAAAACTCCTTAAAGATGGGTTTCGTCCCCCTTTTTGGTCGATTCTTTCAAAAACGCTCCCACTTGGTCCGTCCACGTCATAGGCTCTCTCTCTCTTCCCGCAGCTTTCCCACCTCCTCGCCTTCGTACTCCTTCTTTCTTTCCGCTATCCCATTCGCTCCCTTCACCCCGGGGCTTCAATCCCTCTCAACACTACTTTCGTGTGTGGAAGTAACGAGACGGAGAGTGGCTAGAGAATGGCGAGAGTGTGCATACAATGTATGTGTGTTGAAAGCATCTTCTTCAGCTTCCTCTGCCGACGGCTGGCTCTTGCAGTCAATCGATGTGTAGCTGGCTGCCACCAAGTAACGGGGGTTTCGGCTCCTCCCCAACAGAGTAAGAGGAAAGACCCATTCTTTGAGCGCGCAACTACAAACTGAGACCGCATCAAAATAGTTTTCTTTACTTTCTTATCATTAACTGCTCTCTCATTTTTCCATTGACGTAGTTCTCGTTTCACTGATAGCCTAGCATCACCTTGCAAATCGAGTGGTGTTTCATTACGCTATAATGTTGGACAGTCTGTAACTGTCCCCCTTGTTACCTCATCACATCGCTCTCTCCTCACTTTTCCGGTCAACGCTTACTTTGAAAGATCGTCGATGCGTGTCCTTGAAGCAAGCCTCGACAATTTCGATACTTGTTGGTTGGGTTGGGTCGCTGTTGTGTCTCCCTTTCATTTCATTTTGGTCGTCGCTATTTTTTTGCCAGCAACCCATACAACGATCAACCGTTTTTTTTTTCATATTTTTGTTGCCCCCATCACTCGCTTCCACCCAAATGTTCCTCGTTTTGTATATCTGTATTTTACTCCAGCAAACGTTTGACGAAACTATCTTTTTTCAGGGGCCACGATGGGTAAAAAAGACAAGAAACAGGAGATAAATGACCTCAAGCAGGAGGTCAAAATGGACGAGCACACTGTGCCGATGGAGGAGCTCGTGACCAGACTGGGGACCAATCTCGAAACGGTAAGAATCAGTGTGACATCAAGAATAGAATCATGTCTAAAAATAGAAAACATATGTATTCCGGTGGTGTATCTTTTTATTTGAAGGACGACATGTTTTTCGCCTATCGCGCGTTATCTTTGGTCTCCTTGTCTTCTTTCTTGATTCACCGGAAATAAGAAGAGACTTTGAATAGAATCATATCATTTTCTAATTGTAAATCACTATATTTTCAGGGATTGACCCGCCAGAAGGCCCAGGAGATCCTTCTCAAGAACGGACCAAATGCTTTGTCACCCCCTGAAACTACCCCAGAATGGATCAAGTTCTGCAAGAATTTGTTCGGTGGATTCGCTATGCTTTTGTGGGTCGGAGCAATCCTTTGTTACATTGCCTACTCCGTCGATTACTTCACTATGGAGTACCCATCGAAGGATAACTTGTACTTGGGAATCGTACTCATGACAGTCGTCGTTATCACCGGAGTCTTCCAATACTACCAAGAAAGCAAGTCTTCCAAGATTATGGACTCTTTCAAGAACATGGTTCCAACTTTTGCTCTCGTTCATCGTGATGGTCAGAAGCAGCAAGTTCGCACCGAAGATCTTGTTGTGGGAGACATCGTTGAAGTCAAGGGAGGAGATCGTGTTCCAGCTGATATCCGTGTCATCTCTGCTTTCGGATTCAAGGTCGATAACTCTTCCCTCACCGGAGAGTCTGAGCCCCAGTCCCGCTCCCCAGATTGCACCAACGAGAATCCACTTGAGACCCGTAACATCGCTTTCTTCTCTACCAACGCTGTCGAAGGAACCGCCAAGGGAATTGTCATCTACACCGGAGACAACACCGTCATGGGAAGAATTGCCCATTTGGCTTCTGGACTCGACACCGGAATGACCCCAATTGCTCGCGAAATCGAGCATTTCATCCATCTTATCACTGGTGTCGCCGTTTTCCTTGGAATTTCTTTCTTCATCATTGCCTTCATCCTTGGATACCATTGGCTCACTGCTGTCGTTTTCCTTATCGGTATCATTGTCGCCAATGTTCCAGAAGGATTGATCGCTACCGTCACCGTGTGCCTCACTCTTACCGCCAAGAGAATGGCCAGCAAGAACTGTCTTGTTAAGAACCTCGAAGCCGTCGAAACTCTTGGATCCACTTCCACCATCTGTTCCGATAAAACCGGAACTCTCACTCAAAACAGAATGACCGTTGCCCATATGTGGTACGATCAGACTATTCATGAGTGCGATACCACCGAGACCCAGACCAGCCAAGAAAAGAGAACCGGAGCTAGCTTTGAGGTCAGTGAATCGACAAGATTTTTTCATCAGGCTGTTGCAACAAAATTAAAATTTCAGGCCCTCGTCCGCATCGCTTCCCTCTGTAACCGTGCTGAGTTCAAGGCAGGACAACAAGACACCCCAGTCCTTCGTCGTGATTGCACTGGAGATGCTTCTGAGATCGCTCTTCTCAAGTTCACCGAGCTCACTCAAGGAAATGTTATTGCTGTTCGTGAGAAGAATCCAAAGATTGCTGAGATTCCATTCAACTCCACCAATAAATACCAAGTTTCTGTCCATGACAATGGAGATCACTACTTGCTTGTGATGAAGGGAGCCCCAGAAAGAATCTTGGACGTTTGCTCCACTATCTTCTTGAACGGAAAGGAAGTTGAGCTTACCGACAAACTTCGTGACGACTTCAACACTGCTTACCTCGAGTTGGGAGGAATGGGAGAACGTGTCCTCGGATTCTGTGATTTCATTCTGCCAGCCGACAAGTTCCCGAAAGGATTCAAATTCGACGTTGAGGAGGTCAACTTCCCATTGAAGAACTTGAGATTCGTTGGACTTATGTCCATGATTGATCCACCACGTGCTGCTGTCCCAGATGCTGTGGCCAAGTGCCGCTCCGCTGGAATCAAAGTCGTCATGGTCACTGGAGATCACCCAATTACCGCCAAGGCCATTGCCAAGTCCGTCGGAATCATCTCCGAGGGAACCGAGACCGTTGAGGATATTGCCATTCGTCGTAACATCCCAGTTGAGGAGGTTGACCCACGTGAAGCTAAGGCTGCCGTTATTCACGGATCTGATCTTCGTGAAATGAGCGAGGACCAACTTGCCGAGATCATCAAGTACCACTCGGAAATCGTATTTGCCCGTACCTCTCCACAACAAAAGTTGATGATCGTCGAAGGATTCCAAAAGCAAGGACAAATTGTGGCTGTCACCGGAGACGGAGTGAACGATTCTCCAGCTTTGAAGAAAGCCGATATCGGAGTTGCTATGGGAATTGCTGGATCTGATGTGTCGAAACAAGCCGCTGACATGATTTTGCTCGATGACAACTTCGCTTCCATCGTCGTCGGAGTCGAGGAAGGACGTTTGATTTTTGATAACTTGAAGAAATCTATCGCCTACACTCTCACCTCTAACATCCCAGAAATCTCTCCATTCTTGACCTACATCTTGTTCGGTATCCCACTCCCACTCGGAACTGTCACCATTCTCTGTATCGATCTCGGAACTGACATGGTCCCAGCCATCTCCCTCGCCTACGAAGAAGCCGAATCCGACATCATGAAGCGTCAACCACGTGACCCAATCCGCGACAAGCTTGTCAACGAACGTCTCATCTCTCTCGCATATGGACAAATTGGTATGATCCAGGCCTCTGCTGGATTCTTCACCTACTTCTGGATCATGGCTGACAACGGATTCATGCCATGGGATCTCTACCAGCTCCGTGCTCAATGGGATTCTCGTGCCTACAACAACGTTCTTGACTCCTACGGACAAGAATGGGTGAGCTAGAATTTCTACAGATTTTTTTGCTATAAGTTTATTTTCAGACTTATGCCAACAGAAAGATCCTCGAGTACACCTGCCAAACCGCCTATTTCGTTTCTATCGTCGTTGTCCAATGGGCCGATTTGATCATCTCCAAGACCAGACGTAACTCTCTTGTCCAACAAGGAATGTCTAACTGGACCTTGAACTTCGGACTTGTATTCGAAACCGCTCTTGCCTGGTTCATGTGCTACTGCCCAGGACTTGACAATGGACTTCGTATGTATGGATTGAGGTAATACAGCATTTCCCAAAAATACGGAACTTACCCATTCTTATTTTCAGATTCTCGTGGTGGTTCTGTGCCCTTCCATTCTCCATCCTCATCTTCGTTTATGACGAAGTTCGTCGTTTCTTGATCCGTAGATATCCAGGAGGATGGGTTGAGCGCGAGACCTACTATTAAAGGAAACACTCTTTATTGAATGATCATCTTGTAGAATTTCTCATTTTATCTTATACTTTATCTTTTTATTGTTTTTCCCTTTCTTTTCTCATTCCGACTTAATAATTTCTCTTTCAAATGGTGATGCTACTTTCTGTCGTCTTTTTGAACTTTGTATGGTCTTCTCAAAAAATCACGACGACAGATAGTCTTGTCCTATGTCGATTTTTTTCTCTCGATTGGTGTAGAACTAATAAATCGTGTTCGGGAAATGTTCTTATCTACATCGCGGAAATTACAAGACTCGAATTCAGAATTTCTAAATCATTCTGGTACAACAAAATCAGAGTTATGAAAGAGAAAAGCCGGTGGCCATGGCCGAAGGTTTCACAACGAAACTGCCGTAATCTAAAATTTTATTAGATTTTACTCATTTTTCAATGGTTTTCGTCGAGTTTCATGCAATTTTTCACAAAAAAGTCGGAAAAGAAACCTTTTTGGTAGTGAAGAATTGACTGAAAATGGACGAAAATTGAGAAAATAAATACGGAAAGAAATAAAATTGTTTGGTTACGATAGTTGTCGTCGTGGGACCTTCTCCTTGCTTTCAGTACAACCAATTACTAAAAAATGAATAGGAAGTAACTTTGAAATCGCTCTCAATGCATCTAATTTTCTATTCCTGAATGAAGCCACAAGAGAGCCTTCTCCAGAATTTTAAACGGGTCACCATGGAGACGAAGAACATGAACCTTCTCTTCTTTTTTCTCTTGATTCCTCCTCTCCTTGTCCGATCCCTGTCTATCCAGATATCTTTCACAGTAAATTCTCTTTACGTAATCATCAACCCGAATCGTTTTTCCCATCTGCACCCTAGCTTCAAAATCTGTTAATTAGAGGGTTGTCCATAAAATGGCTTGACAGATGTCACAGTCCATTTTGGCAGCTTTCTCCTTCCTCGCTTCACTGACTGACTGCCAGCTTCCTCCGATCATTATTGTTGCACAACATCTGTCACATGAAATCCCCCTTAACGGTTTTTTCATTTACCGCCTTTTCTCTCTTTTTCATAGATTATTTGTTTACTGAACCAATTTTATTCATTGCACAATTATTCTTTTTAATTTTTGCAATCGTTGAGGGAGGGGAATGCTATATAAATAAATAAAAAGTGAGTTGTGAGGATCAATTTTACAAATTTCTCTCGGGCATAATGTAGGAAATATCGTCCCATGGGTGCCGGTACAGCCCTTGCTTAAGACGAGACTGGTCCAAGTAGTGCCCGATGAATCCAATCGAGCGTCCAAGAACGAACATTCCATTGAGAGCACCTATCTCGATAACTTCTTGAGCTTCGGCTGTTGTGAACATTCCACTGTTACGAAGAATATCTACGAAGATGATGGCAATCGCTCCGTCAACGTTGAGAATGAGATTGGGTTTCTTGGCAGTAGTGATTTTCTCAACTTCAAGAGCGTAATCGAGAAGTGGAGTCTCTTGGGCGAACTCTTTCTTGTCAGCAGCAAAGCGTTTCAGAATTTCAACACGCTTGTCAGGGTTGTTGATCTGAAAATAAATTTGGTGCTTTAGTTACAATGAAACTGGCATACGCTCTTGACACGATGTCCAATACCCATGATGTGTGTTCCGCGTTTTCGCATCTCTCCGACAAATTGATTTGGAGACCATCCCTGATCGAAAGCCTCAGAGAACTGACGTGCAGCTCCATCGAGAGCACCTCCGAACCGATCACCGATGGTGAGAAGACCAGAAGTCAGAGAAGAAATCAGATCCTTTCCAGCACGAGCGCAAACAATGGTGTTATGGGCGCCAGATACAGCTGGTCCGTGGTCTGCAGTGAGCATGAGACAAATCTCAATGAACTTGTTGGCATGTGGAGGAAGGCGTTTCTGAAAATTAAAATGTGAACTAATTATTTGAACACACTATCTAACCTGGAACCAGAGTAAACCGAGAACACCTCCAATTCCCATATCCGACTCAAGGACCTTCGTGATTGGAACACCAGCATAGTTCAGTTCTTCACCACGTTCATCACAAATCGAGGTCATGAAGGAAGCTGGCTTCCGGATGAGACCAAGCTCACGAGCCCAGGCGTAGTCCATTGGTACAGCTGGTGGCGGTTGCTCAGGTTGTGGAACAACGATTTGAAGACGTAGAAGATCTTCGTATGTTTCACGAATCTTGTTACCAAGATCGTCGAAAGAACTTGGGACTAAAGCGCCAGCAGAACGAAGGGCAGTGTTTTTGCAGGCAGCAGTCTCTCCTTCTCCGTGAGCGGAGGCTCCAGCATGTCCGAATTGTACTTCAGAAGTGATGTGGTCCGCGCAGGTTCCGATACACCAGGCAACAAGAGGCTTGGTAATCTGCTTAGTCTTCAGAAGCTCCACGATGCGGTATTCTTCAACACCACCAACTTCACCAAGAAGAACAATCATCTTGACGCGATCGTCATGTTGATATCTGAGAACGTGGTCCGTGTAGGTGCTTCCTGGGTAGCGATCACCTCCAATGGCGATACCTTCGTACACTCCGTTGGTGTTTTGAGAGATGATGTTGTTAAGCTCATTGGACATTCCTCCGGATCGAGAAACGTAGGCCACACTTCCTGGACGATAGAGTTTTGAGGCGAGAATGTTATCCATCATTCCTCCAGTGTTTCCGATCTTGAAGCATCCTGGCTTGATTCCTCCCACAGTGGCTGGTCCAATAAGAGTAACTCCCTTATCCTCAGCAACCTTCAGCAATTTTCTGGTTTGATTCTCAGGTACTCCTTCAGCAATGATGGCAATAACCTTGATCTGTGAGAATTGTAAGGCTTCCAGAACAGTTTCAAAGACAGATCTCATTGAGGCGAATGTGACCATGACGGTGGCATCCGGATGACTAGCGAATGCTTTAGCCATAGATTTGTAAGCAGGAATGAGAATTTCCTTTTGGCCGAAATAGTACTTCTGCTTGTTATCACCAGTGAATGGATAAGTAGAAGCAACCACTGATGGTGAATGCCTTCCACAAACAAAATCAAAGTCAAGCATTCCTTGAATAGCCTTATGTTGCTGTCCCCAAATGATTGCTTTCGTGTTGTTTTCGAAAAGGCTTTGATGCAAAGGATGGCTTCTCTTTGGCGGAAGCTCGACTGGAGCAGAGGTAACCGCCGGTGACGCAGGTGGACGTTCAAATCCAGCAGTCTACAAATCAGATCGTCTACCTTTTTCTTAATTGAAACCTACATTCCGCTCCGGACTCAACAAGAACTGTCCAGTAGTTTGTGGCGCCGTCGGAACAGTTGGCATTGGTGTCAATCCAAGTGCTGCTCCAACGATGGCAGTCATGTGAGTCTCCGGTCCGAACACATGGATTGGAATATCCAACTTTGTAGCGGCATCCTTGACACGTCGAAGTCCTTCTTGGTAGTTTGGTCCTCCTCTTCTCACATAGATCGAAACCTTATGCTCCTTCAGCTTGTCAATGAACGTCTCGAAAGCACGAACGATTCCTCCGAAGGTTTTAGCAACGTTGGTGAAGTTGGCGATGGATCCTCCAATGATGAGCACCTTACCGTCTGGACGTGGAGTTCCTTCAGTCATGACGGAGAGAATGGTTTTCGCATACTCGTATGTTTGTGACTCGGACGGATCTCCAGAGTACTCTCCATAGTTAGCAAGTTCATTTGCACCTCCAAGGTCACAGACAGTGTCGGTGAAGACAACAGAAGCACCTCCACCGGCAACCATGGTCCATACGCGTCCCTGACGGTTGAGAATCGTAAGCTTGAGAGAAGCTCCAGTCTTCGCATCCATATCTGAGATGTATTGCTCTTCGACGGTGAGATCGCGTCCAAATGGAGCTGGGAATTCGATTGATCGAGTTATGCGAGAAGATGCAGATCGGCTACTCCATCTATCAGAGCACAAGAAATTAGCAGTTTCATCGAGTTTAGCAGCTAAATCCAAAACGTGAATTTTCCCGTTAGTGAGAACGAAAGGATTGATTTCCAGGTAGGTGAAATGAAGGGCTTTGTAAGCTTCGTACAAGTTGAGCACGAATTTCCGAATAATATCCTTCTCTTTGCATGGTCCCAAGAGCATATCGAGTTCTCTTTCAGTGATGGTCATTTCATTGTCGTTCAGTTGAACAGGGATATGAACAGCTCTGGCCTAAAACTTCAAGTATATTGGGAATTGTTCAGTGAACAGCCTACCTTCTCCTCGACATCTCCAATATCGACTCCTCCATGCTCATAGAACATGATGACATCTCTGCAGCGTTCGCTGTAAATAGCGATATACATTTCTTCATCTTCGCTATGAGCGCAGAATGGTTCGACGATGAATGTATGAAGTCTTCCTTCCGTTTGTCCGACCTTGATGTAGGTGTTGGCAGTCTTATCGAACCACGCTTCCAATTCGGCTGGTGTTCCAATTTTGACAAGTCCGAGCTTTCCTCGCCGTTTGATGAGCTGATCTGGTTTGATCACTCCTTTGTTGTCCTGAGCAAGCCATTCGTACTTCGCGGATACCTCCGAAAACTTATCACCGGCATTCACGTGAAACGCATGCGGTGCACTGACGATTCCGGTCGACTCAAAGTGTTTGTAGAGAACCTGCAAAACAACGAAAAATAGTATTTCATCACACAAACAATAGAAACGTTACCTCCTTTCCGGAGAGTTCGCTGACAGCTTTAGCCGACATAGTTTTTTACTGGTGCAAGAACCTGAAAGAAGACGTGGTTTTATCCTAGAACCCTCCAAGGAAAAGTCACGCATACATTGCGCAAGAAAAAACGGAAAAGAAAAAGGATGGGCGGGGGGGGGGGGGGGGTTGGGAAGGATAGAAAGTATGCGAAACAGAGACGGTGATGCAAGAAGGCATGCGGTGGCCTACAAAACAGACAAAAAAGTGCGCTCTTGTTGGCGCTGGCGCCCGAGATCGAGATCAGAACGAAAATGTGGAGAAGGGGATGAAAGAGTATGAAGCAAGAGACACAGAGTGAGAGAAGAGAACGTCTCGTGGAATTTTACATTTTCACCTAAATTGAATTCGCTTCCCACGCGCTGCAGGAACACAAACACAGCTTTAGCAAGAAAAAAAAACGATGTGGATTGACAGTCAGAAAGAGGAAAATGTGTGCGAAAAATTGTTTACGGTACAAAAACCACAAAAAATCTATGCAACATTTTTGGTAGAAAAATACCATATTTATTCGAATCGTTGATGGATTCTTAGATCTATTAATTTAATAATTACAACTAAACGCGTTATGAACAAATAAATATCGAGTAATACAGATAATATGAGGGAACACTATATAGGAAGCATACAATAGGAAGCCTTGGAAGAAAGGCTCAATTTGAAAAATTAAACTAAATGTTGAAGCCCAGAGCACTCAAGAGCTTGGATCTGATTCCAGTGTTAGCCACTCGTACACGAGAATCTTCGTTGGACGACGTCGTTAAGAAATGGCTATCGACTCTCGATCCTTCTTCCGGCGTTTTTGTTCGTACTGCAACATTCTCCAAGTAGTCAGCAGCTTCAAACTCTCCTTGTTTGCGATACAGCGCAGACAACTTGGTCAATGCAGAAAGGATGTGTTCACTGAAACGTTTTTTTAAAAGCAACCTCTTAACCTATGATTTACCTCTCTAGATATGGAACAGATACTGGACCTACAAGGCTTGTATCCAATTCGCCTTTTTGCTTCTTCTCTTCTCGTTCTTCGGCTATTTTCCAAATCGGCTTGCTATCATGTTTTGTTCCAAACTGCGTTTCGTGTGCCCGTGTGAGTATTTGTTTGTACAGGCTTTCGGCTTCGTCATACTTTCCTAATTTCAGAAATATCGATGCCAAATTGTTCTTAGTTTTAATAGTGTTGGGATCATCGGTTCCTAGCTTCGCCTCGTAAATCTTCAATGCTTTTTTGTGACAGGCTTCCACCTCTTCGTACTTTCCCATGTTGAGGCACAGAAGACCAAGATTCGTTAGCTGTCTAGCAACTTCAACGTGATCTTCACCAAGAACAGTTTCCCGGATTTTGAGAGCCCGTCGGCATAACGGTTCGGCTTCTTTGAACTTTCCTCGTTTTCCCAGGACAATAGCAAGATTGTTCAAGTTAGCTGCAGTCGTTTGATGATTCTCTCCAAAACAACTCTCCCGAATAGCTAAGGCGTCTTCCAAGTATTGAGCTGCCTCTTTATATTTCTGTTGATCTCGGTAAACCATGGCAAGAAGATTCATCATCGTTGCAACATCAGGATGATTACGACCGTGAACATTGATGAGATCTTCTAATGCTTGCTTTCCAAGTGGGCCAGCGATGTCATAACGGCCGTCCTTCATGTACTGTATCACCAATGTATTCAATGTCACAAGTCTGTTGGGGCTCGGATTGTTATTCACACAATTCGGTTGACCGTCACGGAGATCTGTAAAACTCAATTTCAAAAGTGCATGGTGATTATTCCTACTGTGATTGATATCATTCTCGTCATCTTCCGGTCCAAAGCCAAGATCTTGAAGAGTGTCAATCGCAAGGGGACGAGAGGTTTCATCGGCTAGAGTTGAGCTTTGCTGAAAATCAAAACTTTCCGAAAGCAGGTTTCTAACTAACTCACAATATCAGTTCGGATGGTCTTCGTTGTGTCCAGAAACCTGAGATGTTTCACCTCTTCTTCTAATTGACCATTGATTCGTTCTGATTCCTGCAGCCTACTTTGAGTTTCAGCAAGTTCCTCCACCAACCAATCATTTCTCTCTATCAGGAGCTTTTCAGCGTCTCGACTTTTTGCTTTCTGAACATCCGCAGCATGAAGTAACTGCGCAACCATCAGTAACATTGACACATCATTTTCGTTGTCCAAAAGCTTTTCCATATTTTCGTTTAGTTGAATTTGGATTTCTTTGGAAAGTGATGGTTCATTGCTGTCAACACCTGTAAAAATTTATGTTATTTTTTGTGGTTCTCTGATAAAAACCTTCACTGTTTGCTTCAATGGTATTCGAACAATTATTATGTTCATCTCGCAAAGACGTGATTCTCTGTTGAATGGTTTTCAGATCCGTTGTTAACCCTTCCTCGAAGTTCGCCATTTTTCATGTGATATCGATAGAGAAACTGAAATAGTTGAAAGTTGGTTGAACTTTATCAGATTTGCAATACGGAAAGTCACTGATCTGGTCTGAAGACGCCGGAAACAATCGCAAAAACTACGAAAACGCGCTGAAGATGGCTCTAATTTACCTCAAAATTAATTTTGAGGTAATCTGAGGAAAAAGAAAAAAATTACAAGAAAATTCCTGTTTTTTTTTCGGAATAGATCCCTCAGAATCGAGAGTGTTTCAAAAAATCAATGTGGTTATTCATCAAAATGTAGAAAAATTCGGAGAAATTGCTGAGGGCTCCAAAATCGGCTCCAAAAATACCTTCGAGCTTCAACAGCATTTAAAAATTCTGGGTCTCTCAAATTTAGCTATACATAAATAGTTATTTGCAATTTCAATTCATAATGTTTGACTTCAACCAGATTCCTAGTTAGTTATTTTTCCAGAATTTTATCAGAAATGAGAATTATCCTGTGAATGCTTTTCACTATTAGAGCATCCAAATTCAAAACAATAAAATAAAAGTAGGATGCGGAAGGGAAAATCCTTGAAAATGCCATCGAACTGTTTTCCGGAAACT